GCTCATCACTAAGGATGAGATCCTTAACCTTGCCGTGGAGATACTCCCGGAAGGTGGGATTCGACAGGTGCTCACACACCTCCACTCCATTTCGGGCATCGATGAATGGGGACAAATCCGTCACAGAAGACGAAGAGCCCTGGTCGAACAGGGGATGCAGTACCTCTCTTTGGTTCGCATCCACGCTGGAGACCTGATTTCCCCAGCAAGCCTCGGTTACCATCGGTACGACTTGGAGATAATGGAACGAGAATCCCATATCATGGGCTACATCGCCAAATATCTCCCTGCTGAATACCAAGAGGCCTATCAAGCTGATGTGCAGACGTTGAGGTCTCAGTTTTTTGCTGAAGACGGCAGACTTAACCTGGCCTCGGCGACGTGGGAGGTATCTTACAATCACCTCATGGCCGCCACTTCCTGAGCCAAGTGAGAAGAGGAGATGCTCCCTACGCAAGAGCTCCTGTAACAAATAGAGGAGTTTCTCCCTCGTTAGGCGTAGAGCTGGCGGAGTTACTCCCCAGGGGTTTTTGAACTAGCAAAGAGTCATAGGTGGAGCTTCTCCCCTAGTTGGTGGAGCTTCTCCCCCAACGAGGGGTGTACAGCTGGTGGAGTCTCTCCCTAGGGGTTTTTAAAAGCTTTGAGTCGCTGCCTGCAATAATTCTGCCTGCACTGAGCCACACTGAGCCAACAGCAATCCACCATCCGTGATGCAGGCCTCCTCGTGGTGGCCTGGAGCTCAGTGGCCTAGTCCCAGCTGCCTGCTTAGAAGCCAGATTGAGCCAACAACCGCAGCTTTCTCTCAAGACTCAGCATCATGTCCAGACCTGAGTCAACTCAGGATCCCTCGTTTCAAGCGGAGTACGAGGAATTCTGCCAGCGACGGATACGTGAACAACTTCCGCATGTCACGTATCGCAATTTCCTGCGCCAGTGGAGGCGCTCCGCTCGTGCTCACGGCGAAAGCTATCCTGCATATAAAGGAGTCTCTAAAGGTACTGGTGGACAGGAAGAGCTGGGAAGCGGAAAGGGTGGAGTCACTCCCCCTCCTCCTCCTTCCAAGAAAAGAAGTACAGGGCAAAGCGAGGGTGGAGATACTCCCCCAGCAGCAAAGGCCAAGAGTGGAGATCCTCCCTCGGGGGACCCAATCACGGAAGCTGCGATCAAAGTTCTTCAGTCAGCTGGTTATACGCCCTTTCCCAGTCTGATTTCAGACTGTGATGGGAACATCACTGACCTGAACAATCACCGAATTATGGTGACAGTAACTCAGCAGCTGCGAGATGGCCTCAATCAGGCGGAACGACCCTCCCCGGAGATAGCCAATGCTCTCCTGGAGACCTTCCTGGCCTCTCGCCGGGGACTTGCCAATGAGCCTCTGCAGCCGAAGCTTGGATATCCCACAGCTGAGGAGAATGGGTGGTTTCGTTTTGAGTATTCTTCACCGAACATTCTTCCTGCAGGGGACAGCGAGGTTGCGTTCCACGGCACACACCTGGAATGTTTGCATGGGATACTGGCCACGGGCAGGCTACTACCTTCAACACCTGACCTCTCCGGCACGCGAAGCTTCGAAGCACGCCCAGGTGTGTATCTCCACAGGATGTCAAACAGGCATCTTGCTGCCGGTTACAGTTGTCTGGTGAGGATAGGACCTCGGCACATATTCGTGCGGCCCATGTTTGAGGTGGAGGCTGCGCACTCTGGATCGCAAAAACGTGGTAAGAAAACAAACCAACTGATATACTCCTATGATGCAGTCAAAATCCGAGCGCTGCTACTGCAAATATCAACCAAGGAGACACTCACCTTAGGTGAGTACCTCCGAGAGTGGAGCGGCTCGTTGGAGATACCGCTGAGACAAGCACGGGAATCCTTTCAGGCGTTGGGATACGAACTGCCTGGCGAAGCCTCGTCAAGTGGAGTCAAGGAAGGAGGAGTTGCTCCCCTTCCGGTTTGTGAGCAGGCGTCCAGCTCACAGGGTGGAGTTTCTCCCCCGACCATGGCGTCAGAGATTGACCACAGCTCAACAACGCCACGTAGCTCCACTATAGTGGCCTGGGAGGGCCAACCAGGCGATTTAGGGGACTATTGCACTGCCTCTACGAAGCCGGAGACCAGCTTCTCGTTCGAAGTCTCGAAGGCTCTAGCAGCTTCGCTCCGGCACGGACATAAACCCTACATCAGCGTCACTTCAGCTGGTTGGGCCAAATTAGAGGACGTCCTGAAATGGCCAAGAGTGCAGGCCCAGCACGCCACGGCAGGCGACCTCATGGAGGTCGTTCGGAGTAACGCAAAAGGCAGGTACGAGCTGGGCGATTGCCAAGGCCAGAAGTACATCAGGGCTCTGCAAGGACATTCTCGCTCTGATGTGGACTCCAATGAGGTGTTGGAGGAACTCACGGAGGAGATGCTCCCCAGAATGCTGTATCATGGCACATTCTGGTCCTTGTATGACTCCATACGCCAACGAGGCCTTCTGCCTCAGAACAAGATTTCCAAGGGCCGCGGCAAAGGCGGACGTGGCAGAGAGGGACGACAGCATGTTCACTTCGTCTCGGATCGGGACTATGGGAGACCTGGTGTTTCTGGATTCAGAGATAGCTCGTCGATGTTGGTAGCGGTCGATCCACGCAGAGCCATGCAGGTAGGGGTGCAATTTTTCCGTAGCAAGAACGGCGTCATTCTCACCCTTCCGAAGTGCCCCCTTCTGTCATAGAGTACTACCAGAGCCTGAAATCAGGTACTAAGTACGGAGGCGACAACAGGCCGCTCTGATCGTGAGGATCCTCACCTAATGGTGGAGTCCCTCCCCACACTGATAATGCAGCTGCTCACGCAAAAATCTATGTTATGAGGCTGAAGGTCACTTCAATTTCAACACCAGACAGCAAGTATACCCCGAGGTCGCATGTGAAGCTCCGTGCGCAGTCGTGGGCCCGGATCTGCCAGTGAGTTGTCAGCCAAAAGTTTTCTGGAAGCTCAACTTGCCTTCTCGTACAGGCTCAACTCACCAGCTGTCTCGACTGTAGAAGCCATGCCTGAAACACCGAAGAAGAGTGGCAGCAGAGCGACCTCCCGAACCCCTCCTCCAGTGCGACGTCGGCCCCACCTATCCAGGTCGCCGCCAGCCAGTGACGCCATTCGGGAGTCCGACTCCGAAGACACAGCAGCCCCTAAAGCAGCCCCTAAAGCAGCTGGGCCTAAGGGCCCGCCGCCTCCGATGCCAGTTAACCTGTCAGGAAGTGGATCAAGCACAGATCGGACACCGGGCCCAGGTAAGGCACCTGGAGTGCCAGTGAAAAGCGGAGTCCCGGGAGGAGTTTCTCCCCTGGGACCACCGCCAAAGGCGGTGACCTCAACGATCTCCCATCCAGGGACAGGAGAGCTTCATGTCACCAGCACAAGTCCGGCAGGAGTTGCTCCGCCATCTACAAATAGCAACAACGGGCTGGAAATGGCGCCTGGCCTGCCTTTACTGAGTGTTTCATTGCCTCACCGCCTCTACTATAACATAGAGCTAGTGGTTCGTACCGAGCCTTCACAGCGAGGCTAGACACTCTCGCGAGACAGCAGTGTGCAAAATGGACGTCGCCAATCAGTCAGCGATACATTGCAAATCAGCCGGTTAACTACTTCATTAGTGCCAGAGTCTGCAGCTCGAGTCACTGAAGACACGTCCGATTCCGACTTCATTGCTTGCAGCCTTGAGGGGCGGAGCGTGTGCGAGTGCTGTGTTAAGGCACGGCTCGTCATGAAGTGACCGCGCAAGTAGCAAGCAGAGCAGCAGGTCGATCCCTCGCAAAGCGTGGACGTTAAGTTTCACCTCAGACAGTATCCTCCCGCTGCGTGTGAATAAATAAATGTCGTCGTCGTAGTTGGTTGTTGCTGTTGCAGTTGCAAACCTTGCGCCATGAGGAGTATGAGTACCATCAGTGCATGGCTTGCTATCACTGTCACTGCTTCTTGTACTTTGGGGTTCAGGTCTGGAATTTTGGAGTTGTACAGAAACCTCTTGTTGTACAGTCGGTAGTGGTGGTTGTGGTGGTGATGATGGTGGTGATTGTAGGATTAGTGGTACCCTACGCGCCCTTAGTTGATCGTGGGGTCGAACTGCTGCTTGTGGTTGCGGGTGTGGGGGCAGGGGTGGAGGGGGGAGGGGGGCCGGGGGCGGGTGGGGAGGTTTTTAACGTCGTGTTCCAGGTTATGTTGGCCATTGGCATATTTGCAGCAAGCTGCGCCAATGGCCAAGCGTAGAGCACCGCCTGGCCGCTGCTAGAGCAAGCAGCAGTGGCACACTGCTGCTGATGATGATGTTGTTGGCAATGATGATGTTGAAGACGGTGATCACGGTGACGACGAGGCTGTTAAGACGTTGTATACTGTATACTATCAGCTATCTACTATATACCCTATACTATATGCTGTGTTCGATGTATACGATATACTATGATGTACTACATGGTTTGTACGGTATAATGTATACTATGAAGCATGCTACTATACTATACACCAAAGACCGTACTATCCTGGAATTCGCTTATCGTAACTCCAAACACTCTAGTTCTTAATTCTCCACCGGCGAAAAACGCTTAGCTAGTAATTAGTTTCAATTGTCTATCGGTGCGCTGCAACTCAACACGCATAGCAAGAATCTTCTGTGCATGCATGAAGTCCTGTCTTTTACAGCCTTCCCAGGCTTCTGAAGACGTTAGATTCAAACTCCCGCAGCAAGACAAGCAAGATCAACTATGATTTTGTTCCATTACCCGACCATGCGATAAATTAGGAACGCGACGCGTAGCAGTAGTAGTAGTCGTAGCAGCAGCAGGAGGAGGAGTAGTAGTAGTAGTAGCAGCAGCAGTAGTAGTAGGAGTAGTGATACTAGTAGTAGAGTACCAGTCACCATAAGCAGGCATGTTATGTCTCCCGACAAGCAGCTGCGGAGTGAGAGAATGGCTGCATACCTTCGCATACCTTTGCGTCTCTAGCATCCGCAGGTACATTGCTGAAAATCCGGGCGAGTATTTGGTTCACAACCAGGCCGGACCCTTTTCTGAAGTTCCAAAGCAGCAACTGTCTTGGTGGGCGTCATCAGGCATGACACGGCCTAGCAAGGCATTGTGATTTGTGAGTCCCTGCGCTTTGATTGTGCAGGTTTTCAACCGCAACGAGCTGCAGCCCCTCCTGTGTGAGTTCCAGCTACTCGACACACTGCACCGTTTCACCACGACCCATCCTGCATGTGTTTTCAATCCAGAACCTAAGGAAGAAGCGGAAATCTGGCGATGCATTGGTGGTGGAGCGGCAGCTGAAGGCATCATGGGGCAAAATGAAATGGGTTCTCAGGCCAAGCTTGGCCCGCCCCCTTGCTGTTCTCAAACAGGTGCTGGAGAACAAGAAATGGGGCATACAAGGGAACTGGACAGCGTCACTTGGCGGCAGTGAAGCACGCTGCATCTGTTCACCCTTCCGAACTTCGGCCCAAGGTCCGTGATTTTTGTTTATCTGAACAGCTGCAAGCGCTTCGACGTGAACCTGCCACCGGAGACGCTGCAGGACAGGGGAAAGACACTTGCCTAGCCGATACTGCTCGTAGCCTGACTAACAGATGGGCCGTTGATGCCTTCGATTGCCTGTAGGAGGTGCAGAAGGGCAGTCTTATCCTCAGCCATGTTCGTTCAGTTTCTCCTTCCTGGGGTAGTGTTGCAGCTGCAGCTTGCACGGAAGACAGAGGTGGGGGCAAGTTTGCACACTGGCCGCACTTCAAGACGTCCCTTCCTCAATTCGTTCGGGACCCCAGTGAAGGGCGCATTCAACTTCAATGCGCAGCGCAGGTCAAATCAAAATTCCGGGAAGTTCACGACCTACACGAACGAGCAGGCAGGACAGTCAGGGTAACTAGTCTCCAGACATCTGCATCGCCAACCAGGGTTACCAGAGTTCACTCCTTGCCCACACTGTCCAGGTAAATCTTTTGTCAGCATTTGGAGAGTACATGATCCGCCAACCCCTTGGTAGTTCATCGCGAGCTCGTGCCGTTGAGACCGCATGAGAGTGTGCAGGGTCTGCCTGAGTTGACGGTGCCGAGGTTCCAACGAAGACATGTTCATGCGGTTCTTTCGCTCCTGACGCAATCAATGCATGGAGCTTACCCTTCCAGAAACTTCGAAGCTTGCTTATTGCTCTCCGGTCGATTTTCTTCAGTGGCGCTTGGCTTAAACAGCTGGTGGGGCCCTAGGATGCCCTAGGCATTGCGGAAGTCTGTGGACCTAAATGCCCAATAGGGACTCAGGACTTAGAACTCCAAAACTTGCTCGTTCGCTGGCGGAGCAAGAGTTCAGAGCTGGAACACGCTCAAGGTACTACGCATGAGTTGGCTTCCTGCGCCTCCCAGAAACCGTGCTGCTGACTACTTGAGACCCTCAGTATGCTTGCAGTACAGTTGACGTGCCCACGGCTTCCTGCCTTTGGCTGCTAGATGCTGGGTCTAGGTTTTCCACGCTAGCACCTAGTAGGACTTCTGCAAGGCAGTGGTTGCCGCTCGTGTCGTCCTGTCTGATTGCGTCGCTCAAGTGCTTTCTCGGTTCTTCTTACGCAGATCTCGGCCCAGGTTATTTCAGCGACAAGCGCTGATCGTGACATTCGAAAGGGTGCGCTTGCACAGTGTCTGGAATGGCTGCTTGATATCTATCGGTGTGACTTGCACGTTTACTGGACAAGCGCATGTGCTTGCACTTCGTTGGCTTTGCAGCTCAACTCACGTCAAAAGCGCTTGACTGTACACATGCTGGCTGCGTGCTAGGGGAAACGTCGGAGCAACGATCATGCCGAAGGCTTGTTCTAGTGTGATCGAGGCTTGAGGACAGCAACTGAGCTGAATTTTGGAAGACTTCCTCGGCAAGACGCCACTACCAAGACACTTGGATGTCTAGTTGCGTTTTGCTAAACGTGTGTAAGACACAGTTCACCACCGATTTGCAAGCCGATTGGGCCTGTCTACAGCTGCAGCACGGGAAATCACCACAGACTACAGCCAGCTTCTCTTTGCTCGTCCTCTCCCGCACCATGTGCCGCTGGACTATCATTGGCCTGTGCTTCGTGCACATCGTGGGGCAGGATATTCTCGATTTTGACGATGCATGCCACAAGAGCAATGCTATTGAATGTTCTGCATCCTGGCTGCAGCGACGCGCACGTCGAGTCCAAGACAACTCTCCGGCCCACGCCCACGAGCTGGCAATGGAGGAAGACTCGAAAACTGTGTCGGCTGCACATTCGTCGGAAGAGATGTCTGTGAAATCCATGAACATGGTGAACTCAACCACCAGCTTCTGCGACACCCACACGGGAGGCAGTTGCAAATACTTAAGCTGCAGCTCATCTCGAGGCCCAACTCAGTGTGTTGAGGGGCATTGTCGATGTCAACCTGGCTACTGTGCTGTCGGGGGGAATTGCGTACCCAACGATCATTCCCACAACTTTCTGCAGTGTCCGCAGCGCACTGGTGGCACCTGCAGCTGGTTTGGATACTGCTGGAAGTATCGGGGCCCTACTCGATGCGTCAGTGGTGAGTGCATGTGTCAGCCGGGCTTCTTGGAGTCTTCTAAGAAAGATTTCGAGTAAGGAATCCTTTGAGGTGCTCACTTTTTGGATTCGGATGTTCTGTTTGGACGTGGCATAGGCTGGCTTTGCAATGTGCCGAACGGCAAAAGCACTGTGCACCGGGAGCTATGAGCCAAGGTCATTGTTCAGACGATGATGGAAGGTGCCACAAGAAGATGCCAGATGTTTTCGCAGACATCGTTCCAATCAACGACGAGAGGAAAGAGTTCCCACCCAGACAGGCCAGGCACGGGATGGGTGTCACAGCTTCTTCGATGCTTTTTTCGTAGTATTGTTTCCGAGGCGAACCTCCAGACGGCCATCTGCCTGAGCGGTGGTGGCACCAGGGCCATGGTGGCTGCACTGGGAGCTCTGAGGGGCCTCGAGTACTTGGACTTGTTGGGCCACACGGACCTTCTTGTGTCGGTGTCCGGCGGCACATGGACCTCGGGACCCTTCATGTGGCGAAGCGGCAAGAATGTCTCAAGGTTTCGGCCGCACTGCCGCCTGTGTTACAGGTTCTCGCACATGAGCAAGGGCCATCTTCTTGGATCCCCGACGCGACCGTCGGAGCTTTCCCTCGAGGAGCGACGATTTCGCTGCGCGAGGCCCTAGGCTCTGAGAGTTCCCTGTGGATGCAGGCGCTGACGACGCGGCCAGGGTTGATAGGCGTCCTCCTCTCGGTTTGGATCCAAGCATTCATTCAGCGATGTTTAGATGAACATTAGGATGGGGCGACGCACGACATTTACCGCTGCGGCCTCGCGTACTTTCGGATATCATGGTGTGGCAGCAAATATGGCAAACTCCAGTAACTCCGCCCGCTGAGACCTGCTGAAGACTGCATTTCTCAACAACGACGACCCGCACTCGATTTGGGTGAATGCATTCAACGAGGCTGTGCTTCATTGAAGGGCAGGATTCTGGCATTCTTACCGAGTTTCGTTTGGCAGATCCTCTTGAAGCCCATTGGCCTGGGCAACATGAGCAAGTACCCCTTTGTTCGGCCAAGACTTCGACTGCCAAGCTTTGTTGCTCAGAGACACGATTCGACGTAGGTACATGGCTCCGGATGACAGCACCGTCCAGCGCATCATTCGCAAGAATCCTCACTTGCAGCGCGAGGATGTTGGCACAATAGAGCTCATGGCAGTGCCCTAGTGAGGCCCAGTGTATCCTCGTCCGACCGCGTCGGTGCAGAGAACCTGCATCAGGACTTCATTGTCCCACCGTCTGATCGGCCGCGTGCCTTCGTCATGCTACTAAGCTGCAAGTGGTAGACCAACCGAGGGCTGAGGGCTGCAACCTCCTTGAGAGATTGCCGAGGCTTGGAGTTCTGCTCGCTCCCTTGGGACACGAGTCCGACGATGATACAGTCGTGCCGTGTGCTCGGTCTTGAAATCGAGCTTTCAGGAAGGGCTTTAAGCTTAGGCTCTCGCGTAGTTCCCGCTTGCCGCTGCTTGCGAAGGTCTTTGCAGATGTCTCCAGACTTCTCCGGCAGCCCTTTCTATCCTGGCGACTTGCTCGGAGAAGAGAAGAGAAAGGGCTTTCACAGCGTGGGTGTTGTGTGTGTTATCTCTGGTTTCAAGTCAGGACGGGAAGGCCAGCTGCAGTTCGACGAAGAGGGCGAGCATTGGCTGGCCAGCTCTGATATTCCTGCTCTCAAGTTGGCCAAGACCTTGGCTCCCGTCTCTCCGTGAAGTTGGGCGAGTCTGTTCGAGCTGAGGTTGTGGGAGGCGGCATGGTGGAGACCTTTGCATTCGGTTCCGACACACCCTTTTCGGACCAATCCGGAGGCCGGGCCCGGGTTCTGGAACAACCAACTTATTTCTTTGGGTCTCACAGGCCACGGCGTGAGAATGCCATCGCCTTCGGAGCCCATGAGTTTGGCGAAGGAGGGCGGCAGCTCTGTTCTCATACTCACTCGGGTACTTCAAACGTTGCTTCAGTTTTCGGGGAGGCCGTGGGGGTGAGCAGCGCCGCCTTTTCGGCGTACACCTCGCAAGCCATGGACAAGTTGGGAGGGCAGAGAATGCAGGCCCAGAGCTCCGCTTTCCAGCGTGAGCAAAGTGATATCAGAGTGAGGCTTTGATACCGGTTGCAACGCTTTGGCCGATAACTTCCAAGAAGTTTCCTGGTCCCAAGGCCGGAAGTTGCTCCAGGGAAGCGCGTCTGAATAGCGAAGCCGCGAAGCCACGCCGCCTAGCCGAGGCAGCTGCGAAGTTCAAGATCGGCGATGGAGGCCACATGGACAACTCTGGGCTGCTGCCGGCACTGCAGAGGAAGGCCTGAAATGAAACCCTTTCATCCCAGCTTTGGGGTCTTCTGACGTTGGCTGCCAGGTGCCTCGGATTGTGATGTTTCTCAACACGGACGTGAAGATCGGCATGAAGTCGGAGCGCGCGGGCTGTGCTTTCTGCTGTCTCTTTCCGCAAAAAACCTCCGAGTTACTTGTAGTTGGCCCCTGAGGACTTCTGTGCCTACGCGCCAGTGCCGGAGTCTCGGAGGTTATAAGAAGCGCAAGCAGCTGCAAGCACTTGGCTGCTTGGCTTTGATCACATGATGACTCTTGCAGGAATGCAGGGGAACTCGGATCAGCAGCCACTCGGCTGATCTCGGCTGCACCTGGTCAGTTCTGCCTGGGCCGATGCTCCGATGCAGATCGGTCCAACATGCAGATCCTCAGGCTGCCTGGTACTTCGTGGACAAGTTTGGACTGGGAGCTCATGTGGACGGGTCATTTCTGATGCATAACCAGGCATGACCGCTGCCTGCGGCCTGCGGCACCGGCTCTACATATGCTCTGGCCAGGTGTTTCGGTTCAAAGACCTGCAGCCTATCCTCTGCGACCTGCAGACACATAGGTGCCTGTTTGCGCATTTACTGCTGCGAACGAGAGCTCTGAACTGCGAGTCAGTGCGGGTCTCTGCGAGGCGCGCTGGCCGACCGGCCGTGAGTCTGAGAGAATTGGAGGTGCTCAAAAACAGCTGGTCTGGGTCTTAGGCCCTGAGGCGGTAGACCTCAGCTGCCCCACACGGTGCTGTGTGCTGCACAGCTGTATGCCTCGCCGACCTTCCTGTTGGCATCTTGGAGCAGCGCATTGTCATTGTGGTTGTGGCATTTCAACCCCCGGCCTCCAACGCCCATTCCCTGCCCGCCGTCTTGCGTTCGGGCATGTAATTATTCTGACAGGCCGCTGTTTTGCGCTGCTGGTGGGTGCACTGCTTGTAACTTATCACTCTTAACATGCGCACCCATGTGCAGCATGAGCGTTCATGTGTGGGCAACCTCACAAATCTGTGTCTGTTGGCTTTTCCGTGGTTGCCTGCCTATCTGCCTGCCGGTCGCCGTCTGTTTCGTGGTTGTGTTGGAAAGTTGGATTGCCAGGCGGAGCAGCAGGAAAGGCGATCCTCAAACATTGCATGTCGGATCTCAGGCCTCTGTGCTAGATTGTGCAGGCTCGGGGGCGTTTCGCTCTGAGGCTTTACTTACTTCTTGTGCCGATTTCATGAGTCAACAGCGAGTCGCGAACGCTCACACATCGTGTTCGGCTGACCTATCTGATAGGTACAATTGAAAATTGCCGGCGTATCATCGACACCAGTGTCCACCCGCCTGGGTTTTAAGGTCGCCCTTTGATGTTGATCCCCCATTTGAGGTAAGCTGGGGGCTTTGGCTCAGTCTTGCACCATCAACACTACATCGCCTCGGATAGCGGTCGCCAAACGGCTTTTCGTGACACGGATTGGTCGAACCAGCTGCAGTTGATCACTGTGCGATGCAATTAGGAAGGCCGGTTAAGATTCTGTTTCGCAGGACGGTGGGCGACCAGGGGACCAGGGCGTACAGTCACACTACGGATGCGAGCGCTCACCCCCTGCCAACAGCGACAAGCTCGTGCTGCTGAAGCAGTTTGCGAAATAGGTGACACTTGCTGAAATCAGCGTGTGACAATCTCTGCGGCTACGCAAGCCGGACTGGCACATTGTTGTGCCTCCAGACATCGCGTGTAGAACGTTCGATGTAAGAAGTGTCCCGTCGGGTATGAGCAAAAGTGGAGTTTGCCGGCCCTCCTGAGCTATCTGGCTTGAGATTGCTGGACGGATACGAGCTCATGCTGGATTGTGAAACGGGGTACCATGTGGCCTGCAATGACTGCATGTTTCGGCAGCTCACGGCACGAAGTGATGGTGCTTCAACCAAGATTCTGTCGTAGGTCTCCATCTACACACAGTATTCTCAGGCCTGCTTCTAGGAAGTTTGGACTACATGCATAGCTATCTCAGGTGGGGCATTGAAGGAGGCCTTGCTGTGGCACAGCTCTCGGAATGCTTCCTTCCTGCAGTTCTCGCCTTGAGGCTGGAAGGTGAAGCTACTGGTTTATCATCTGGACAAGAGCAAAGTCTTCGAGAACCAGCTTCCTGAAGATACGAAGAAGGCCGGCAGACGCCATCGTGATTCAGCCCCATGTCCAGCTGTTCTGCCAGCTGCCTGAGTGGGTTGTTACCAGGAGATCGCTGCAGGGAAAGAGGGCATGTTTGCAGCTTCGACGCAATGGAAGAACAATCGATCCTCCGTTCGATGCCAAGCCGGCAACTTACATGCCTGTCTGAGGCCAACTTCCCACAGTTCACAATGGTCCGGCAGAACCCGCGGTCTTTGATTTCCTACACCAGCGCCCAGGCCCACACGTCTTTGAAAGCAAGCGAGCAGAAGCGCCTTCTCGGGTAGATGCAGCCTACCATTAGAGCCTATAAAGCCCCGAAGCTTGAATAATTGGCATATTCACAAGGATGGGTTCTGGCGAGTGTTCCCTTGGCTGCCTTTTCCTTGTCTCAGTGCCAACTCACAAAGGATGGCTACAGTGGGTGCCCACGGGCAAACAGGAAATTCTGTATTTGTCAATATTTCGAGCCTGCGAACTGCCAGAAATGCTTGTAATTGCACAGGACTTTGGAGCCAGGAAAGGCCGCCAGACCTAGCAACGATAACCAATCCCCGCCAGACCTGGGAAACAACCCAATGTCGACCCTTCCAGGTCCGACACTCGATTCACCCCGAACCTTGAGCAGTTACATGAGAAAATTCGAAGGCCACCTAGGACCTAGGAACTGCATGATCAGACCTTTCGGATCTTTGGGTAGGAGAGGAAATGTTCCAATCGCTGCGAGACGCGCCATCGGACAGCAGAAGCATTCGAGCGTCACATCAACGTGGGCGAAGTCCGATTTGTGCCGCTGTGGGCAGACGTCCACGCAACACGGTGATTAAATATTATTACCACAAACATTCGTGTGGAACGATCGCCAGAGGATGAGATTTTTGACGAGGGTTTCAGCCCGGACCATGTAGTCTATTGCCAAAATCCACGTTGATTTTCTTTGGCCGGTTGTGGCTGAGGAGCAGAGTAGTTAGCAGTCATTAGAAGTCGGCACGAACTAGCAATGAGAGCCGCGCAGGTGAACCTGCTCTCCTCGCTTGTCGAGTCTCTTGGCTGTCAGGATCGCAGTGTAGTCACGTGGCCAAGCCAGCGAAGTCAGTTTCTTTGCCCCTGCAGATACTGATCTGCTGGTAGTGCTTTGTTGAAGCCTTGGTTGAAGCTGTAACTAAGTACAGCAGCGGTTACGTGTAATATGGCATGAGCGATCACCGGTGACCGTAACAGTGTAGTGACTGGAGCAAGTGCAACGGCAGGTTCTCGTACATGTCTGAGCTGAGGTACGGCGTGCGTCAGCATGCCAGCTACTTCCGGGAAGTGCTAGCGGGCATCCCCCGAAATCTCTGGGAGCCACAGCCCAGTGCTGGGCTGGGTGCTTAGAAGCAGCCAATCTTCAGGTATGAGTTGCGTCAGGGCCAAGTGACCGATCTAGAACAGTTCTCGAACGATTTTTCACGTTCGGCGGGAGCAGTTTTGCATCGCATGAACTGGACAGAGTACAGTAAACTCCTTAACTCTAGCTAGGAACACTTCAGGTTCGAGGCGCTACACCCACGTGAAGCTGCCCAAGGCAACACGCTCGAATCGGGGTATATGGGAGTTTCCGAAAATGAGGGGTAGCCTATTTGGCGGTCGGCATAGTAAGGATCCTACTATTTAGGTTATATGACTGAAAAGACATTCCCCGAACTGAGTTGGTCTCGGCAGGAGACTCGGAGGAGCTTTCGGACATCCTCCGCAGCTAGCAGCCGATGCTCATTCAGCTTCAGAATTCGCCATTCCAAACTTTTATGTCCAGAAGGGTAAAAGAACTCCCCTCGAGCGCGAACATCCTCAACATGACAAGATCGGCACAGCCAGATGGGAGGGGGCGGGGTAGGGGTGAGAATGCTTTGTCTGCGAGTCGTTAGAGCGCCAGCTGGATCAAGTCCCTGTACATGAGACTGGACTTAGTGCAGGGCAGGAACTCACCTGCGAACCGAACAGATCTGCCCAACGCAAGCCTTTAAGAACAACATGCACAGTCCCACAGAGTGTGAGACTTAGTGAGCCAGCTCACTCCAGCCGATGGCCTTGCCGTGCCACCATGGGTGTGGAGGCCCCTTTTCAGCTGCAGTTGCATTTCAGGTTTAGGGTATAGGGTTTAGGGCATTTCAGGTAGGAGTGTGATAGGTGGCAGATATGACATTGAGCAGGTGGAGACTTGTCAAGCCGGCACCGGCAAGACCTTTCCACAGAAGGGGAATCGCCTGGAAGTGGGAGCCCGTGAAAAGGCAACGGGAGTGCTAGAGACGCATTGAGCGTGGACTTCAGGTCCATTATACCGGGACATTGGCCAGCCACCCAGCCACCGGTTGTGCCTGAACTTGCTGTAAGAATCGATTTCATGTCGTGCCAGAGTACTGCATTCCAAGGCCACTGACGGACGAAAGTTTGACTCGTCTCGTGATCGGGGAAAGCCCTTCTCCTTCACTTTGGGTACAGAACCTGCTCAGGCACAGGGACAGGGACTTACAGTGGCTTGCTTTGACCGTGTGCTCCGAGCTCAGGTGATCCGAGGCTGGGAGGAAGGCATGCTGCAGTTGTCGCTTGGAGAGAGGGCAACGCTGCATATTAGCAGGGGCCTCCGGGCCCGGAGGGCTGAGCTCGGCGTTCTGAAGCCGCACAGCCACAGAAATCCTCAGGCTCGGACTTTGCATATGGCGAATCTGGTTATGGAGATGGCAGCTCCTTGTTTGGCAACTGGCGGGTGGCTGTGGAGAGGGTCCAATGCATCCAGGCGTCTCCACTCGGCTGTAGCCTTGCCACAGCCGGAAATGATATCATGCACACCCAAATGCAGACTTATATACTCTTAAGTTGGAGTCAAAGGTTGTCGGTTTCTGGAACGATGGCTTCAATGTTTCAGCAGGGAAAGGAGCGTCGGCACTTGCCAAGTTTCTTCTCCCTGGTCCCCTTGTCGCGAAAAGTGATGCAGCATGTTGCAGTGCACGAACCGGCGTGTTTGCAAAGACATCGAAAGAATCGCAACTGCGCGACAGTTCGTCGCATCTCCATTCGAAGCTTGGCCATTCGAGCTCTCGAACTCGGTCTAGGTGGGTCGGAATAGACTTCCGTAATCCTGGAAGCACGTTGAACACATGAAACGGGGAAGCTAAACAATCAAAGACTTGGCCAGCATGTCTTGTTGGTGATTGGTTGACTCGGGAATTCAATTATGCTTCGGCCTGCGCAACTTGTGAGGAGCTGCTGGTTGCGTCGATGTTACGGCATAGTGCATGAAGCTCGTAGTATTGTACTTTCATCTTAGGCAAGATCCCTCCGAACGCTGATCTCGTCTTTGATGTGGAGCTGGTTTCCATAAACGGCAAGACGAGGAGTGACTTGGACAAGTTCGAGGCTGAGCTGAACAAGTGGGCAGCCAAGACCCTCGGCTCTTGTGAGGGGCTGGTTGGGAGCTTTTGTCAAGATTGCAAGTCTGGCTTTGCTGCTGGCACGGTGGGTGCTTCCCGATGCTTTGTCGTAGTGCTTACGAAGGAAGCTGGCCGAGTTCGACAGCGACGACAAGCTCAAGGCGAAGTACACGTCCAAAGACGATTATGCTCAATATTTGAACAGGCAGGGCCAGGAGGTGTTTCACTTGTGTCCTGCCGTGTGGCCCTTGTGTTGTTGTTTGTGTCTCTTCGCTGCGGCCGCTTGCACAGGAAGTCGGCGAAGCGGCTTCGTCATATCGAAAACACATGAGATCGATGGTCATCTCGATATCAGTAGTTAGGTATTGGGATGCGATCGGGTCCTTGGCAGCGACAGATGCAAAATCATGTCGCGGGTTGGTTCACTGTTCAGCACCAGATGCCCAATGGCACAGGGTCTGCAATTACGAGTGCCGGAATGTTGCGAGTCTTGTTGACAACCTACTCCTGATCTTATGCTGTTTTGTCATGGCATATCAGACTGCACTCGAAGAGCGGGGACAAGAAGCTCGCAGAGTTCAGGCCATGGGAATGATGACAAATTGGATGGTTCATCTGGCTCAAGCATGATTGTGGCATTTGTCGCAAATATTTGGTAGAAGTCCCTGCAAGTGCTGCACTTACATTGGCAGGAAAGCAGCTAGGCTTACGAGTGGCCCTTTAGGCTGGCATTTAGAGACTGTTGCCTCGCAGCTTCTTTGAGAAAGATAGCAGGCCAGGAAAGCTTGTCAGTGTCATGGCATTACAAGGAGCCTACTGCAATGTTCATTATGTTCTGGCAGGCTCTATGGCAGATCTGGCGTTCGTGACAGTTGAACAGCCGCCAAGGTCTCTTACTCGCATCGGTCAGGAACGTGATGGGAATGCATTCAGCAGGAGGGGTCACAAGGCCTGAAGAGACGGATAAAGGCTTCGACGAGCAGCATCAGACCTCGCGCATCACTCAAACCTGCTGGATCAGTCAGTAGCAAAAGCACAAACAAAGGTAAGGGGTTGGCAACATTTCGAGGCACCTGATCCTAGACCATTCCCAGTCGCTTATGCACCTTGATGTCTGCAGCCGCAGCAAACATGAAGGATTTCGTAAAGGCAGATGATGCAGGGGCCATGCCGGAAATGGCTTTTGGACATCATGGTTCAGTGTCACGAACATTCTTGTCCAGAACAGATTCACGTGAATCGGAAGCCATTGCGTAAAACGCGGGGAATCAGAGGCTGTCACACATAGTTCCTTGTGCTCTCCTTGCCTCAGCAACTTCCGGGCGTCCCGGATCCCAAAGCTTTGACTCTCGACTTACTGGTCCTCCGAACTCGGTCACCCCACACCAACTTCTTCGAAACCAACATGCTGCGCAGCTACTGCATGTTAGATGCATCGGTCGACACGATGCATGATATCGTCCACGGCGCTCAAATCCAGTTGCAATGTTTCAGGGCAGCGGCACCGCCACCTGCAGTCGTTAGCACAGCTTCCCCAAATGCCGCCGCCCCGCAGGCGCGGCTTTTCTTCTTCTTCCTGAGTTTTTTTGGCAAGGGCTCAAAATTCCGAAAGTCAGTTCGCCGATTGGAGCGCACGGATGATGTGTTTAAGCATAAATTGCTTTTGAGTCAGGCCAACTTCGCGACCAAAGCATCTGCTGCGGCTTTGGCAGGGGTCGCCATCGGCTCCCGTCGCTGGAGGCAACGGGCGTGCTGTCAAAGAAGTGTTCCGGGCCCTCCCCGGACGCAGCCCGACGGACGAATTGCTTGTGATAATTCTGCGGAATATCACCAAACGATCATGACTGAAGCCTGGGTGCATCTCACATATCAGCCATGTCACATGCATTTGCCCGCAAAAGTTATGGTCACAGCCCAAGTGACGAGCACTTGAGCCTGCATGTGCGACCTCCTGCTGACACTCGCATCTACGAAAGGCAGCGGCGGGAAGGAAAGCTCCAAGGACAGAAGGTCGTGCGTCAGGCATGCTGGGTGGGGTGCCACGTCTGGCAGATGTGCATGACCTGCCCGTTCCCGATCCCCTCGAGCGTGGTCGAGCCTTCCGGACCCAACGTTCAACGACCCAGCCCACTGAAGCAGTACCACCGAAGTTCATGGGACAGAGCTAGCAACGCATGAGGCGACAGCGAGTGTGAGGACGCTGGAATCCACACGTGCCTTTGGCTCGAGCCGTTGGGCCGTCGGTCGTAGGTAGAGGATGTCTAAACCAGACTTCACCACATCTCAGCTTGCCTAGACTTTCACAGTGTACATGGTATCGGCAACGTACATTTTTAGCTTCTCAAGCCGCGTCGGCTCGGGCTCGTGATGGTCCCACTGGGGCAGGTCTTCTCGGGTTCCGCCCTGAATGGCCAATGGCTGGCCCAGGAATCTTCAGCTTCTTGGATCTGCCCCCGCCGGAGGAGGAGCCAGCCCCGCAGAACGAGTCTCGAGATTCCTCGGATGATAGTCCGGCGATCAGGGATGCACCCGCAGAAAAGGCCGCAAACAGCTTCTTTCCGACAATAAGCACTGCTGGACTGCTCCACGACTCTGACTCAGACGGTGATGGTCTGTATCTTCAGCATCCCGGACAAGTGCCGCAAGATGTACTGGCGGTGGCATGTGAGCCTCCACCGGAGTCGTTTCCAGGGCTGCCCACACATGTGGTCCTCAAAGTTCTCTCCATCGAGGGCCTTCCACTGCGCAAGGAAGAGCGCAATGTTCCTGGCAGCAAAGGGCTGGGCTACTTCATGGAGGGCAAAGACATGATCGACCGCAGTGGAGCAAAAGCCTCGGAGAACCGGCTTGTGAACAAAAACCTAGCATTTCAGATAAGCCTTCAGAGAGCTCAGGCCTCTGCGGCTATCCTTCCAGAACCACAAAGCCGGCCTCCTGGCAGGCCTGCTAGAGCCTCTCGTCTATGCCTCGAGATAAGCCATCGTTTTCGGGTTGAGGCATCGCTGTGCCGAGCCCCGCATCTTTGCGGAGCTTTCGGGCGACCATTGGGAGGCGAGAGGGGGAAAGCTCAAAGGGCTGCAGAAGACACTTGAAGATGTTAGGCAGTCTGGGACCACCCTGGCTCGTGCCCCAGCGACCGTGTGAACGTCGCTTCCCAATTCAAGTCTGTTTAAGTCATGGCTGAAAGCCATTGCAATGTCTGAGGTGAGGTGAGGGTAAAGCTCAAGGACGGCCAGGCGGGCGGTGGACGTTTGCGTCGAGACAGGCCTGACCCCCAGCAGGGTCATGTCGCAACAGCTCCAGGATTCTGTGGTGGTCGGCATCCTGCTGGGTCAGGAGGCAAGGATTCAAAACGAGATGCGCAGCAGCAGCAGCACACATCTTCCTGAGACTCTGCGACGAGGTCGTTGCGGTGACGGCAGAGTTGGACCTCACAGGAACCATGCGACGGTTCTTCCAGCCGCAGCAACTCTACAGGACAGAGCGACTGCTTCGTGTCAAGCTTCGGGTGCCTGGCAGTTCCTGTGCAGGCCGAAATTCAGTGGTGTTGCTCTTGGTCTGCTGCTTTGCAGCACTCTCCTCCAAGACGCCCCAGAACTATTTGCAAAGTCTTGCTCGTGTCAGGATAGAGGGTGCAAGTGCAAAGCTGGCACTGGAGCTCTACCCACCAGGCTTCGTTGGGCCTTGGGGCCTTGGAGTAGGAGTTGGATGAAAGTGGTGTTATTGCAGCACTTGCGAGGGTCACAACTCCCTGGCCGGGCCGTGGCCGAGCCCGAAAGGCCAAGCGCGGTGAGGCTGCCCAAGGCACAGCGCGGCTCGGAAGCCCGGCGTTGCATTTGCATCGCGTGGCGTCGAGGACGTTCCCATCAGCGATTGCCGGTTCTGTGACGGCTATGGGCGCAGGAGTGGGAGCTGGGAGCATGAATCTTAAACGTGAGAGCCAAGGGAGTTTCTTTGCGAAGGAGCTGTGATGGCTGCGGAGGGCATGGCGTCCTTGTTTGCAGCACATGCGATGGCATGCTCGAGTCCCAGGAGGGCGCCTTGTTTCTCTTAGATTTAGGCTAAGTTCAGTCCTCGAGGCCGGCCTTGCCATGTCCCGTGTGCCGTGGGCGTGGGACACTGCACGACAACTTGGAGGACATGGGATGCGCCAGAGAGCATTAGATACAAGATGAAGACTTCTGAGATTTTTCTGAGTTTCTCAGGGTTGGCCGTTTCGCACACCCGCACACGCCTGGAGCAACTGCCGCAAGCCGTGCAGGGCATTGGCGGGCCAAGAAGCAGAAGAGCGCAGGACGGTGCCGTCTTGATCACCGTGAAGGGGCGACGATGCCAGGAGCTGCTCGATAGCCGGATGTAAGAACGAGCGTAATTCTGAGCCATGCTGAGCTGACAGAACTGCTGGGGTGCGCCCTTGACCTGCAAAGAATGCTTTGGCGCAGCAGCCTTGCGTTGCAGCTCGGCAGCATCTGCTCCCTCCACCGTTCAGCATTTGCTAGCAGAAGCCGATCATCCTTGCCTGAGGTAACGTCTGCAACGGTGCCGGCTGGTCGGTATGCACACGTTGTCCCAAAGCTTCCTACTAGCCACGGCTTGTGAAACAAGCATCGAGCCTGACATGAGCCTGAAGATCGAGAGCGACAGAGGCTTTCGAGCCTGACTTGGTTGGGAAAGCGACATATCTGTCAGCTCCGAAACTTGAAAAAATGTACATAAGACGACGCGGCCTCGAAGCAGCGAGCTAACGTAGGGATTATAGCTGACTGGCCACTCCTTAAAGGAGTTCTCTGCAGCTGTACCGACCGAGCGAGGGTGCCCAAACTTGCCATTTTGCATCCGACATGAGCTCGGATCGGATGATTGGGATGGAGGGATCCCGGGATGCAAGGCCGGCTCTGTGGAACTCAAGCCCAAGCAGAAGCAAGAGGAGGTGCCCGTTGACATCTTGTCGATGCTTCTTTCTGGGAAACTGTCTCCTTGCCCAGGCTGTGGCCCTGCGGGATGGCCAGAATGCGGAGCTGGGGGAGGTGCTGGACCAGGCATCGCTGCGCAATTGCGCCGATCTTCCGCGATCCCTCGCGATTCCAGTTGCCTTCGCCAGGAGTACTCAGCTGGGTTTTACACGAACATCGAGTCCGAATCTTTGCCTAAGGGTCTCAACGAGGCGGGTGAGAAAGAGATGGACTGATTCATTCAGGGGTGCTGCCGTAGCACTTCCTCGCAGGATATCGTCCGAAAGATCTGGGAAATCAAAGAAGAGCCAGAGTGGATGCTGGAATTTCGTTTGAATGCTTTCAGGACCCGAACGCCGCTAAGCCTAGCAAACAAGCTTGCAGCACAGCTCAAGCAGAGCGAGTGACGTAAGCAAATGTTTCCATGCGGGCGAGTGGGCCTCTTCTGAGAGGAAATGGAAGCAGATGAAGATGCCAGAGTGGGCACAGCTTCAGATGGAAGAGATCGATTTTCAGGACCTGTTCTGCCCTTGGTGAGTCATCTACATGGTCATTTCAGGGCACGGCCTTAGAAGCTTGTCAGGGACACAGCACGGGGATGTCATGTTGTCACCCTTGACTCCCCTCGTCTGATATGTGTGCATGCGTGTGCGCATGTTGAAAGTCTTTCTGCAGGACATAGTCTACTACTCCAGGCCCAAAACGAAGAAGAAGAAGCAGAGCCTCGATGAGGTATCCATCGGAGGCCTTCTCGTCTCGCGAAAGATGCACAGCCCGTCCACAGGTTGATCCTGAGTTGCTTGACACCTTCGAGAAGCTCGGCATCCCATTAACTGAGCAGAAGGCCTGGGCTTTGGAGCGGCAGCAAGCACTCCTTCCACTGCTGCAACTGCTGCAGCGCCTGACCAACGTCGCGGTGGATGCTGTGTTCGACAGCGAGAGCATCGGGACCACCTTCCAGAAAGAGCTTGCAGAGGCACCACATGCCATATCAACCCTTTTGTGGGTGCCTTGTGCCGATTGACAGGCAGGTGTGATCTTCTGCTCCATCAACGAAGCCATCAAGGCAGCGGCAATCATCTTTGCTGCCATGTCCTCGAGCGAGTTTGAAGGAGCATCCAGAACTTGTCAAGAAGTACCTGGGATCCGTGGTCCCAGTGGCTGACAACTATTTTGCTGCGCTCAACAGGCCAGCGACTTTCACAGCTGTTGAGTCTGGAGCAGTGAACCGAGCTGCGTGCAGTGCCGTCTTCAGCGATGGCTCCTTCTGCTACATCCCGAAGGGCACCACATGTCCCATGGAGATCTCAACATACTTCCGCATCAACAACCAGGCCCGCGGTTGCCTTGCAGCCTGCGCAGATGGATCGGGTTTCGGCGCCCCATACAGGAGTCTGGACAGTTTGAGCGCACCTTGCTCATCGCAGACGAGAGCAGCTATGTCTCGTACCTGGAGGGATGCACCGCGCGCGCCTTACATGGATCAACCCATCATGGAAAGTCTGCTTAAACTGGGCAGTTAAGTAGTCATGTGAGTCATGTGGCACATGTGGCACATATGGCAGATGGGCTGGGCGGCAGCATGTTGGACAGCATGTGCAGGATGCACCCCTCGGAGCTAGGAGTGTTGGAGAAATCCTGGACATGCCTTGGAGAGCAGAGCCAGTGGACAACCGTGGTGGCGAGTGAGTTGGCAGAAGATTGCTTTTGTTGCTGCTGCGGTTGTTGTTGTTGTTGTTGTTGTTGTTGCTGTTGTAGCCGCTATGGATCACAGCAGGCTGTGTAGCTTTGCTAACAAGGCTCTGGGTACCAACGCTAGAGGCTCGCAACGGCCCCCTTCTGCGAAGCTTAAGGGACTGTCCTCTTTCTGAGCCATAGCTACTCCCGGAGCCACGTGTCGCTGTGATCCACCGGGTCCCAATTCCCGGGCCTCTGTTTGCAGTTATACAACCTTGGCAAGAGGTAAGCGGTAGTGGTTTTCACCTCCTCCGCAGGGTGAAGGGAGTCGGATTGAGTTCTCTCTTTCTGGCGAAACTAGCGGAAGGCGCGTCGACTGTGCCTCAGTGTTTTTCTCCTGCCGATGCTTTTACATTTACAAAAGGACCTGCCGCACCAAGCCATTCAAGGGGCGGCCCCAGTCATGGGTTGGCCATCTTCTGCACCTGGGTATCCTGAAGGAAGCTTTCGAGTTGAGGCCTCGTTCCGCTCCTCTCTTCGACTTTCCAGCTACACGACAAGACACCCAGGTACAGCTCCAGGTCTTTCCTGCGCAGTTTTGCTGGCGCTCTGGTTTTGCGCATTCACTGGTACACCTCCGCAAGAAGGACACGGATTGTCTGGTATTCTCATGCAGTCTTCTTCGAGCACTAGTTTTTCCTTCAACGGCACAGTGGACTGCCACCGGCTGCTACGAAGCCAGTGCGATCGAGAGTTCTCCTTCACGGTTCAGTGTTTTCTGCGCTTCACTTCTGTTCAGCCGCCAGCGCCTGGGAGCAAGTCAGACTCAGGACAGGCTAGGCGCAACGTGGTGACTCACAACGCGTCAGCATCCTCCCAATGCTGGCCCCGACGGGCATTCCAGGGACTCCTTTTGCTAAGGGGTGCTTTTGTGGGCCTCGAGGGGCTATCCTCTCTGGAAGGGGAGGCCTCTCGGGGGCCGCCGGGCCAGACTTGTCTACAAGACAAGGCGCAGATTGGGACACTGGGGACTCAGGTTCAGCAGAGTTGGCCAACGTCTTCAGTTCCAGTACGGTGTCTACCTGGTACGGCTCCACGTCACATCTGGGTACAGTCGTTAAGCGGACGCGCTTGCAGTGCTATGGGTGTCGGGCTACGGCTACGGCCCTCCCAGGTGTGTTCGTTACTGTCCTGTTACCGACGGGGTCAGGCAGTGCTAGGAGTGACGGCCCACGTGTTTTTGCTTGACGACGAATTATCCTTACGGCCCATCGCTGGTAGTCGGGAGTTACCTAGTGTGGGACGCCACTAGACGGGAACTCTGGGAGACGGCTCTTCTGAGTACGACCCACCGGCTGCCAGTTCGTGAGTATTGGACGCAATGACTCACACTGAGGGTGACGGAGGCTACATGACGAAGACCTTGTGAGTCGGGCTGTCACATTAGGAGTCGAGGGCAACGCCTGTGTCAGATATAGGCAACGCCCTTTGGAGGCAACGCCCGAGTCAGATACAGGCAACGCCTTTGGAACTGTCGTCACTTCAAGTGGCCTCTCCCCGTGAGGCTGGTGCCTAAGAGCAGTTGCTGCTGTGTACAGTCTGCAGTACTGCTCTTTTGACTTAGGCCCTACTCTTTTAACTTTAAGCAACGGCTCCTCTTTTTTTTTCCTTCTCTGAGGATCCTATAGGGGTTGTTCGGTCTTCTCTGATGGTTCTGTTTGGTTAGTTTGCTTGTTGGCATGCCTGCCTGAGGCCTCGGAGCGAAAGTGAGTTTGGCTCGTTGCTCCAGAAACGGATGAAGGAGGTACCTGCGATTATCGCTGGGCAGTCCCCTCGCGCAATTTTAGGAGCCACAGTCTGTTTCTTGTTTACAAGGCCGCCGGGTGAAGACAGCGTAACCACTATTGGAATGTCGGCAGGCAGATTCTAACGGAGTGGTGCTGGCTCACGGCACACTTCCGAAGTTTCTGCACGCCCGCAATGAGCAGAGCCCGCTCGCTCAGCGTTCAATAGTTGTTGCTGTTGCTGTTGCTGTTGCTGATGTTGTTGTTGTTGTTGTCGTTGTTGCTGCTGCTGCTGCGGTTGGTGCTGGTGCTGGTGCTGTCGTTGTTGCTGTTGCTGTTGCTGTCGTCGTCGTGGTCGTCGTTGTTGTTGCGGTTGTTGCGGTTGTTGTGGTTGTTGTTGTTGTGGTGGTTGTGGTGGTTGTGGTGGTTGTGGTGGTTGTGGTGGTTGTGGCGGTTGTGGCGGTTGTGGCGGTTGTGGTGGTTGTGGTGATTGTATGCACATGCATGCATGCATGCATGTGTATGTGTGTATATACACACACGCATACACGCTGCACACAAACGTATGTATGAATTTGTGAATGTAAGTACTGTGGGGATGTAAGTATGATGCCTGCATGTAGGCACGCCTGCATGTATGTCTATGCACATATATGTACATGCATGTGCATGTGTGTGTGTGTGTGTGTGCGCACAGGTTTGTGTGTGGATGTATGCATGTACATGCAAATGCGTGTGCTGGCATGCTTGCTTGGTCAGGCCCCCATGTTTGACTCGAAGCAGCTGCATGCGTGGCTCTCAGGACTAAAACTACTAGTGCCAAATCTCGAAAGCATCGTGCAGCGAAAATTCAAATCAATGTGCGCTGCGATGGCCTTCCGTTTGGTTTGAGGCAGCGGTAGTTGAGCTGCATGCTGCTGAGTCAGCAGAGATCAAGTCCAGATCTTATCTTGCGACATGCTTCGGTTTATGTCAGCTTACACTCCTCGAATCACGCAACGTCGCCTTCCCAGATACTCCACGGTGCAGAACTGGTGGGGAACCCGGCTTTTGTGCAAGGATTCTGCGAGTCAGAAGATTTATTGACCGGCCTCGCCGCGTGGGGTCAGAGGTATGCTGGAGACAAGGACGGCAAAGGCGGCATTCTCAACCTGGTCTGGGTCCTGCTGGTGGAGCAGCTTTTGTGATACCACGAGCCTGGCGGCGACAGCAGCACCATCTGTAGGGCAATCATGTCTGCATGTCGTGCAACAGCCCACACGAGGAAGGTTCCCTGCCGCAACCTGGGGCCTAGGGAGACAGAGAGCAGAAGGGCCATCGCTGTTGCATCGCTGCAGCTCTGAGTCATCAGGTCACAAAGCGTGGCATGTGCGAGGGCAAGAAATCCAAGATCTCATGGACACAGGCGGAGAGTTGAAGATCGCACAGACGAAGCCACAGAAAGACGGTTTCAGGTGGAAACTGGCTCGGCCGTGACCTGGAAGTATCCTTCCTGCATACTTAAGGCCACGATTTGGTCGACTGCAGCAATCTTTCAGACTTTGGCAATAAGTCTCTCGGCAGGGAGATGACTCCATCGGCGAGTTCTATTCGGTGGCACTGACGAACAACTACCAGCAGGCTGCCTGAATATCACAACCACAACCTTTCCAGGAAGAGCAACTAGAGGGCTCGAAAGTCAGTCTTGGCACAGCAGCTACTACCAACATAAACAGAAAACCCACATGCGTACTTATGCATGGACTGCAAAAGGCCACAGAAACAATGTCTCTCGTTGATGAGGCTGTATCATCCTCAATCTTGACTGTAGCTTGCATGGTCGAACAATTTTGTGCTCGGCTCAGACATGACATGTGCACCTATGCATACAAACAGAAGTATGCACGCCTGACAGCAAGATGGCTGAAGACAACCTTGTTGTACAGTCGAAGAAGAAATGCAGTTTGGTGGCAGCAGGTTGCTAGCTGCGAGTCATTGACTCACCGGCAGCTAGTAAAGACCCGAACCAAGCAAAGCCCACACAAAATCCCACACCTCTCATCACAGCTTGGCCGCGGACCGAGCGATGCTGAGCTTTGATGGCCTCCTCACCCAGGCCTTTCTCGCAGGCGGTCCACTTTTCAGGATCATAGGGTGGATGAGCCATCAGGTCTACGAGGCCGGGGCGGAAGACGAGGAGGCAGAAGAGTTGGCAGAGGCTCCTGCGAGGGAGAAGGAGATTCCCGCACTGCTGTGCCCCATTCTGTCATGGTTCAGGCAGAATGCCACGACAACCGGGGAGCCTCAAAGAGGAGAGAAGTTGAGGCTAACAAGTGCTCAAGTGCTCGCAGATTTCGGAAGACTGCTTTCTGAGCAGGTCCCGTCACCGGCTCAGCTGCGAAGAAGAGTTGGAGGCTTAAGCTCAAGCTCGGCTCACTCTTGAGAAAGCAACCCTGCGGCAAGCTGAGGAGCCAGAGCCAGACTACCCAAGTCCCAGTGAGCTCCAACTTCCTCACAGGCCAGGACCTCTTGAATCTTCAATCTTCAACACTCGGATGTTGAATCGAAGACTCCTCGAAGAACCTGTCCCTTATCCTTGAATCATCGATCTTCGGGTGGAAGTCGTGAATCTCAAGACTTCCCAACTACTTCAATCGTCTAGAAGATCACCCTCGTTCTTGGTTGTTGGTGCCGAGTTTTGAAACTCAATACTTCCATGCCTGCACGACTTTGGAAGTGGAAACTTTTCCTGCAAGTTGAAGACTTACGGCAGAACTTCCCGTCGAATCTTCAATCTTCAACACTGTTCAACAACTCCGGAGCGTGCAATCCATGTCGAAAAACAGTCGCATTTTGTTGAGCTCGCTTTCGGTGGTGAATGTGCCTACGGGAAGCAAGAAGCGGGCAAGCATCATCGAACAGGTTGTGGCACGCTTTTGCCATGAAGGGCTCACTTGAATGTACGAGCAGCAATCCCGAACCAGCACAGCGTTAAGGTAATCTCGTGAGCGGCCCTTCAAGAAAGATCAAGCACGCAAGCAGCAAATCCCACCGTGGCTGAGGGCCGCTTGCGGCGTGAACGGCTCGCCTGAGGGCACATGCATGCAGACAGAAGTAAAAGTTTTTTTTCTGTTCAGCTATTTTTTCTGGCCAAACTTTCTGAGGTACTGTGACATGTGTTGCAGTTTGAGTTGTCGTAAGGATGGTGGTAGGGTGTATCAACGATGCTGAATATCTGAGCCCTTACTGCTATAACCATGTGATCTAGATGACTTCTAATTTCCTGCACAACTACGCCAACCCAATGGTTTAGATCGATGTCAGATGTTTCAGCCTGCGTATGAATTCGTCTTGGACGACTTCACAGGTATCCACTATTCAGGCCACTACTACCTTCATGGTCTCTGTGACCATCTTTGCAGTTCCTCCCGCTGCAAAATGGGAGCGGTTCGACAGCACTACTTTCCAAGATGTGGAGCTTCAGATGATACTACACAGCGTTTTGATATCTTTTCGCAAAGGAGGGCTTCAGAACATCTTGTGCTATCGCACTGCTGCCGCCTGTACGTCTGTATGCATGTAGGCATGCATGCATGTATTCACGTATGTGTATGTATCCGGATGTATGCGTATACATGTGTTGGCGTGCGCACATAAATACATGCATGCCTGCCTGCCTGCATGCATGCATACATACGTATACTTATCTACTACATACTTTTTTGAACATGGGGCATTGCGCATACATGTGTGCGCGTTGTAAACGGCAGCCTAGACCTTTGAAGATGTGTTCTGACCTGCGAGGTACCCCGTGTGGAGTGCCGGAGCCAGTTCTGCCAGGTGCGGCTTAGGGTTTAGGGTTTAGGAGTTTAGGTATAGCTACATGAATGCATGAATAAATATGTTTAAGTACATAAACAAATATGTACTGACATAGGTGTATACATAAATATACTTCAAGTAACCATTGAAGTCGTCGGCGGACTTTAGCACCGAGCCCTGACGCCCTGAAGGCTCCTAGCCAGCCTCACAGCCCGACAGAGCCCAGACCTATAACGCGTGGCAGAGTTCGGGGTGCAGTAGCGAAGGAATCTCCAATGCAAGATCTGAATCTTTTCGTCAGGAAGGCTTGCTTGTGATGCTGCTCGATTGTTCTATTGGTCGGCTTGTGCGTGCACGATAGACTTCTCTGCTTTGTTTTCTGAAGAGAAATGAGAGGCTAAAGAGCAGCTCCAGCGCACCTGCCCTGCCGCGAGTGCGCTCTGCCAGACGAGGACAGAGATCAACGGATCTGGTCGTGTTTGGATCCTGGACTCTCGTAGATCGGCATTGCATTCGTAGAAAGCGATGTTGGTTGGACAGCTTTGGTTGGATCCGAGCGAAGATGTGAGGCGTGTATCTTCCCGCTGTAGGAGAGGAGTCGGTGCTGTCACCAATGATCGACGGTCCGGGTCATTCCGCTTCACAGAGGCAACAGCTTGTCTCCGACACCTGCAGGGCTGTGCTTTTGTAGAGTATAAGCGGAAGGCAAGCTGCCCATTGGAAACCTGTTCGCCGAAAGCCTCAGCAAGGGAGCCATCTTCGACCGCTCAGCCATCTCAGGCCGATGTGTGTTCCGACGCTCCTGGCTTGCCCCCATGTGTTTTTGCGGAGAGAAGGCGGCTGGATACGCCGGAGGATGCAAAGAAGTGGATGCCTCCGAAGGTCCAGGGAGGCCGCCCCAAAACTCTTTGTACTGGGACGAGAAATTAGGCAGTGAACGCTGTCGCAGGTGGTGCCTGGGGTGGCATCCTTCAGTCCCAGCATCAGAGGCCTTGTCCCGAAATAGATGAGTGTCTTGAGCGGGTGCTTGCAGAATCCAGCGTCTGCAGGGGAATGCGTGGTTTTGATGTGCTGTGATGCTGGCCGCAGTTGGCCAGCGCACGTTGGGGATTTTATGTATGTGCCATGTGATTTTTGTCGGTCCGCTTGTGCGGAGTGCGGATGCTGAAATTCTGCAAGCCGGTGCTGCCACTGCTGCTGTGGCCACGGCTGTGACTATGGCGACGACTACTACCACTCCTACTCCAACTAATTACTCAGACCAGTCCTCCGACTACAACAACAACAACTACTACTACTACTACTACTACTACTATTACTACTACTACTACTACTACTACTACTACTACTACTACTACTACTACTACTACTACTACTACTACGACGACTATTACGTGCGGAATCACCATTGTCCCAATTCCGAGTCAGTTCGATGTGTTCAAAGCTGGCCGGCCTCCGGCAGGCTTGCCGGCGTTCTCGTGTCAACCTCGGCCACGCACATTGTCAAGGTCTTGATCTATCGCTCTTGAGATATTCTGCTCGCAACTCCAGGCGAAGCAGCATCAGGAGATGAAGAAAATGCAGCTCCGAGCTCAACCCACATTTAACATCATGTGTGTTTGGCGTCTCTTGAATCGGCAGCCTCTCAACTGTTTCTCATGCCTCCTGGTCTGACCGAGCGAACAGTCAAGCCCAAAGGCAACAGCTGGAAGTCCTGCCGGCGGCTCGGGGACCGCCGAAAGGCTGCAGGAGATCACGAAGAGTCTTCAACCCACCGCAAGCCTGTGAGCCGCTGGTCGCCACGGCAAGGCAGCAGCTGAATCGTTTGGGAAGCTATGTTGGCGGAGATGCGAGGGTAGATGTGCCAACCTCAGCTCGGGTCAGAGAATGTCTTTACGTCGGTTCAACAACTCATTCGTCACAATTCCCTTGCAGGGTGCCGTGCATAGCTACATGGTTGAGATGGCTCCAAAGGTGGGCAGGCAGGCGCAGTTCGCATGTGTTCGCCCATGCCAAGCTCACGGGGCAGACATCAGCAATTCGACAGGAAGGCGCCATCTTGGAAGCCTCTGAGTCCGATCCGCCGGCCAATGTCTCGGTCGATCTGAGCGCGGGGTCTCCAGGCAATGTCTCATGGCATGTGGGGCGAATCGCGAATCCAAAGGCTTTCTGTGAAGACTCCAAACATGCGGTTATGGAGGTGGGAACCAACGTGCTTAAATGCCATGTCGAATCAAGACGAGACTTGGGATGAAGAGATCTGATACAGCCGTCCAGCGGCTTTACTAAGAATACCATAGCCGCCAGCCGTAAGTCCGAGAGGCCTTCGACATGTCAAACAAAAACACAGACAATCGCGCCTCACATAGCCGCGCGCAACCGGCGTCCCCGAAGCGATTTCGAGAAGGAGTTCGGGAAGCGAAGCATGCACCACCGCTGATGTGCGGGACGGCTCTGGTCAACTTACGCAGCTCACTCCCACACTCCGGCATTGTTTGCATGCTGAGTCTGCATACGTGGCTTGTTTGGTCATCTTCGGTTGCACTTCAGCAAACTCACGCCCACTCCATCTGACGAGAACTCCAAGGAAGAACCACTTGCGACGATGGTCAGTGCCTTCGTGCTCCTAGCTTTCTAACCGATGAGTGCTTGGATGAAGCACCTCCATCCACAGACAGCTAGTCGAAGTTGGGGAAAGGTAGAGATGCCTTCGTCCCTCAGGTCGGCTCTGCCCGTCTTGCCGGAGGACGAGGCTGTAGGCTGTGTTGCAGCATGCAGCGTGCTCACAAGCGCCGTTCCATGTTTTATCGGATGTTTTCGAGTTGGGAGGAGCAGTCGCTTCTGGGAAGTCGTGGGCAAAGCTCCGAGGCCTTCTGGGAAGAGGCGGCGGAGGCGGGGAGAGGTCTTTGCTCGCAGCTGCTCCTGGCAGCTCCTGCTGGCTGCTCGGGAGGCTGAGAGGGCCGAGGAGTTGGCGGCCGATGCGCGGCTGGAAGTCCAGGAAGTTCCGGCGGAGGACGAGGGCGCTTCCGCAGAAGCCTCCGAGCAGAAGGAGCCTCGTAGCAGCAGCCAGAATGTGGAGAAAACGTCTATGGAACAACGACGGCAGCCAAGGTTTGATGCAGAGGGAGGTCCCGAGACAGAAGCAGAGGGAGTTCCAGCTGCCGCTGCCGAGGACGCTCGGGAGCTGAACATTCCAAGGGCGTTCGACAGTCTTTGGAAGAGTCATGTACGAGGCCACCGCAACTGGACAGGGATCGTTGGATTCGGGAGAGATCGAAGTGTCGGTGCAAGTCACCCTTCCCTTGGACGAGGAGGAGGAGGAGGTGGGAAATGCATCGCTTTGATGTGAGGGGACAGGTCACTCCCTGCCGCTTCCAGGCGGCTTGCAGCCTACAGCCGAGTGTCGCGGCCCAGCTAGCTTCCGAAGATCGTGACGTGCTCGCGCCGGATGAGGCAGATCGCGGGCATGGTAAGATTAGGTCGTTAATACATGACAAGAGCTAGGCAGGCTACTGTAGAAGGTCAGTGTGCGATGGGCAGGAAGTGGGCTCACGCACTGGCGACGCCGAAGTTGAGCAGCTTCAGAATGAAGTGTGGCCCCCTGCGTTGATGCTGTGCATTCAGTTTGCTGGATATGTATATTGGTATGGCTTCCAGTGTAATGCAAAGCAGTGTGGACGCAAGAAGCTACTGAATCAACCAAGGGTGAAATCACACTTTCGTAACGGAGCCTCAGCCGGACGCCGACGGAGACCGTCAAGTGCCGTCGGATCCCCGCGAAAGTGTCGTGTCATCGGGGCTGGGCGGATGTAAACCGGGCAGTTACGACCGAGACCGAATAGGAGCGCTGGTGAGCTTCAACCTGCGGCCGTTCCACAACATTTCCGAAGGTGTTATTCAGTGCACGCAAGAATTGCCCTCAGATGCAATGGCAAGGATGCACTCTTAGACATTTTCCACCCTCGCAGATGCCGAATTTGACCTAAAATTTATGTTGAGGTTGACATGTTTCGCCCCTGAACCTGCCTCGTGATATCAAGCACAATCTGGTGGAGAGGTGGGGAGATTGCATTCCTGGGTTGGTGACTAGCGTTATTCAATGCCTTTGTCATCGAAGCAATCTCCCGCTGTCGAAGCGCTGCAAAGTCCGGAGACGGCAGCACGGTCGCTATTGTCAGGGCCGAATTCCTTTTTGTTGCTTGCTTGTTTTTCGCTGTGGCTCTTGTAGTCTTGGCTCTCGACGTGAAGGACGCGGCGTCGTCCCCACAGCAGGAGGCGGCCAACGTCAGCTTTTTCAGAGGCCATGGCGAGATTGAGACTGGGACGTAGAGCCGTGTCCTTCGTGCAGAGTGAAACTAAGATTCATTGAATTTACAGGTGAGGCTCAAGCATCGCTGCTGGAGCAGGCTCGAGAGAGAGAGAGAGAGAGAGAGTAAGGACGGAGATCTGCGCGAAGGGTGCCTAGGCTTCGGACAAATCAGCAACTGCAGCAGGCCGTCTCCAGCCAGAAGCAAGGCAAGGGCAAAGCCAGAGCGCAGCGTTCGACAGTTGCGACATCGTCCTTGTGGAGTAGACCTATCCTTCCGATGCAAAGCTGAGTGGAGTTCAAAGAGAACGTGTGTTGATATGGTGGCAGGTGCCATACCCTGGGCTGGAGGCAGCTTCTCCACCTCGTGGATGCAGGAGCTGGAGGCTCGCGGCGCAAGAACAGTCTGACTCTGTTTCGTGTTGCTGTCGCTTCGGTGTCGAAGGAAGCGGCTGCGCCTTACGCAACCCTCTGCCGGGATACAACGGATGCACGGATCCAAGTATCTGCAAGTTGTCGGTGCAAGTAATCGGTTTGACACAAGTCCTGAGGTGCTTATGGCAAATTTGGGCAGCATTGCTCCCAACTCCAGACGGTCCTCAGTGGAATCCCAGCTTAATACAAGCCATTACGGCCTGCCTTCCAAACAAGGCTCCCCGATGCATCTGATGTGATGATATGTGATGCTCCTCGAAATGCGCATTTTTTCTCGCCAGAAGGCCACTGCGTGTTCAGCGGCGACCGCCGGCAGGAAGAGTTCTTGGGGCAGATCGGAGCGACCGAGGCGCCCCTCAAGTGATCAGCGATGAAGACCGATGTATCCCGAAGTGAGGATGCACCCCCGGAGAAGTCGGAGCCCGAGACGGAGAACACGCAGGAGCCTGGAGGAGATGCAGAGCATGCTGAGGCAGAGTTCTCCGAAGAATGGGGCCACGTCTTGGTGTGTGTGTTTGTGACATATGAGCAGGAAGTGCCTCAGCCGCCTCCAGAACAGACCGAGGAAGCGCCTGCACATCAGCTGCAGAAGCTTTACTCGAGTGACATCCGCTTTGTCTTGCCGTGTCCCGGTCAAAACTTGTCCAGAGGTCGAGCTGTCATCCGACATACCTGCACGTGAGGATCGCTCTTTTGTCTGTAGCAGCCTATCCAGCACTGTTCGGCCATCCCTGTCAAGCTTGGCGCTAGGAGATCAGCATTCGTGGCAAAGACTGGTCGATATTGGCCGCGGAGTGTGATGTGCTTCTGGCCGAGTGCCGGAGGCATGACTGCAACAATCGGGCATGTGCTTCGAGACTGTGCTTCGCATATTGCTGTCACTGACGGGCTGTGAGAAAGCAGGCCACTTCCGGCAGACAGTGCGGCTGAAGCAGGCAAGCTCTAGCAGCGTGCTGGCGAGCGTGAGCAACTACTACGAGCGAGTTTGTGCACGAAGGCGGAGGAGGAGTCGAAATGGCAACACACGTGCCCACAGACCGCGCTGAAGTTGAGCAGGAGGACAGGCAAATCACGCGCCGATCCACTTGTTGCAGGGTTAGACATGGAATATCGTTATCGGGTAACAACAGCAAAATTCAGGAAGTTGCATTCGGGAAACTTCGGAGAAAAGGTTCCGGGATTTTGCAAACAGAATCAGAGAACACGACAACACGAATCGCAAAGTACAGAGGGATGCGTGTGAGTTTTTGGTATGTCGGCGGCCTTGCTACAAGGTGGGTCTAGAGATTCTTCGTCTTTTCGGGGCCTCGTTTCAAGATCAGGCCCATCCTCCGACCAATGTGGACACCAGAGTGCCAGCACTTAAGAAAGCCTCTAAACAAAGCCACATGTAGAGGTCCCGTGGTGTTGTTAGTCAAAGTCATACCGCAAGCCTCACCGATGCGTTTGAGCCATGATCGTTAGAAATCTTAAACGCCAAATTTGCATCATGCCTCATGGACGACCTTTGATTTATTGGGCGTCTAAGTTTAGAGTCGTCCGTGTCGCCTTCTGAGATCCGTACTGACTCTGTCTTTCGTCCTGTTTTGATTTGCCTTTTGGAGGGTTCTCTTCTGAATTGGTCTTCATGATTTAAAATTTGCTTTCCGAATATGTCCACATCCCATAAACGTACCGAAGGACGCATCAGAGACGAAAGAAGATGCAACTCCTGCGGAAGCAGTTCCTGAGGTGGACGCCGGATTCCAGTGCACTTCGACAGATCACCGATTGACCAACGCCACTGCGTGCAGGACACGTGGGCCGCAGACACAGTGGGACTCGAGCTGGATTTGTAACGATCATCCGGAGTAGGGCTCTGAACAGGGAAATGGGAACAACTTTTTGAATACACGTGGTCCTTGGGAGCATGTAAGGGAAGAGTGTTAGTTGGCGCTCGAAGCTGTTCTCTGTTCTGCAGCAGCTTGTGCCCAGAGTGGTGCAAGAACAAGTTTTTTTCGAAAGGGCTCCTAAGGTGCCCGACAATTCAAGGCATTGGTGCATGCACGAACTCATGGGCTGCGCAGCCCCTCGACTTGTTTCAACGTTCTGCAAGCACGCAGGCATGCAAAGGCACACATCCGTCCCGTAGCACCTACCTACCCAGACTGTCGAAGCACTGCAAGATGCCTTCATGGCCGTTTGTTTCACCCGTTGAATCGTACCAGCTGTTGAAAACTTGCAGACATTTGTGAGTCAGTCGGCTGTTAAGCCACTCTGCAGCCGGCATGGCAGTCCAATCCTGTTGCAGGCTGACACTGGCACCAAGATGGTCCACCTCGGAAAGAACACAAGGCTGACGTGGAGAAGTACGTGCGTTCTGCTGCATCCATGTGTTGCTGCTAGGTCGAAGATCATCTCGAAGGGAATTTCCGCAGGACACTCCAAAAACGCGTGACCGGGTGCATGACATTGTTGTGCAGGGCCGATTTCGTTGATTGTTTTCCTGATGTTGTTCGAAGCCTGGGACATCGGTTCCATGGATGTCGCAGACCTCACGAGGTACCGTGGCCTTGTGGCCTTCCGCGGGAACGCTAGTGCTGGGAGGACGTCGAAGTCAGCCCTGTGTCCTTTCAGCAGCTGCTGCAAACCTCGCAAGATACTGTGAGCCTCGCAGGAACTTCTCTCAGTGCGACTCTTTGCTGATTGGAAACAAGGGCGAGGCCTTGCAAGTTCGGCATTGGCATGGTGGCATGACAATGTAGCTGCATGGTGGAGTCTGTGGGCAGGCCTCCACTTTTCCGTACATTGAGGCTGCCGATGGAAATAATCAGGTCGAGCATGAGGCACTGGTGGGTGTGGTTGCGCTGATGTCTTGAATCGTCGTCTTGTGGCGATTGCGCATTCGCTCTTGCTCTATCTTTTGCTCGCATCCACAACATTCCAAGCGAATCTGAGCTTCCCCCGTGCCCCGTAGCTCCAACTGCTCAAGCTCCAGGCCACGACCTCACGAGTCTCTGAGGAGCAGAATCTCGGATGAACGGAGTCGTAGGAAGTCGGACAAGATCCCGCCAAGTTGCAGTCGTCTGTCGCATGTGCCGCATGTGCTGCATGGTCGCTGAGGCTTCTGTACCTGACGAGCCGCGGCCTTGCGCCCGAGGAGGCCGTTTCGCTCGTCATCAACGGCTTCTGCCAGGAGTCTTGCTTTAGTCCCGTTTGGTCTCCTTTGTTGAACTAGACGAAGGGACGCCGCTGCCAGCACATAAATGAGGTGTTTGTCTCTGGGTTTCTTACTCTGTGACGCAAGTCATTTGTGCGAAATGTCAGAGTCAGTTGAGAAGGTTCTTGCAGCTCCCGCCAGAAATCCCCTCGGGAAGGACGTTTTCGACCAGCTGCCGATGGAATTCGCATCCGAGGACTCGCAGTGGCTTGGGTGTAGGAATGTGGAGGCATGCGGGGTGGTTGCAACTGCGGTGGCCGCAGGCGCAGAAGCTGCTGTCTTTGAAGCTGGAGGGCACTGTGGGCTGAGGCAACTCGCTGCCTGTCTGAAGGTTTCAAGTTCGAGGATCACACGAAGTGCTGCTGCCAGGCCAAGAGACGCCGCATCGTTTAGCCGTTCTTCACCTCGCCTCGTGTAGAGTGCTTTGCATACGTCTCTTCATGATTGTTCGATGTTAGCAACAGCTGTTTCTAGCCCTTGCATGGCCTTATTGGGGCCTGTGCCCCAAAACGTGAGACGGTGCAATTTGTTAGAGATTTTTCCGGGGAGGCAGCACTGCAACAGGCTGCAGAGCAGCCAATGTCACATTGAGTAGCTGCTCCGCGGATGAAACAGCTGCTGCTGAGCAGCGTAAATGCCCAGCCGACATCCAGCACGGCTCCCTCTGCACAGACAACGCAAGTGCCTGATGGCACATGCCGCACTTCTCGGGACTCCAGTGGTGCGCAGAAGGGTCCAAGGAGTGTCCAAGGCCTTAGCCTTTGAACAGGGGGTGTTTCCGAGTGCCGCAACTGATCACCACCGGCCATACCGAGGGTCAAACCTTTTGTGTACCGTCGCAGGAACCGCGACTAAAACACAACACGAAGCGGCTGTCTGCTTGCACGCTGGCGGAGTTGAATCAGCTCTGGTCTGAGTTCGCACTGGTAATTCTTCTTTGTTTTGGCTCTACAGCTGACGCACGGAAGCCGTGTGCGGCTGTCGACAGACTACCGATATACGCAGGTCTCAGGTCACAGCTCACAGCAACAGCACCAGCATGGTCTGCATACTTTCAAACATTGTGTGGCAGTGTCTGGTGAGCCACCATGGGGCAGCAATGCTGCGGCCTGCGAGCAAGAGAGGACATTTCATTCACAGCCACTCGCATCCATCTGCGCCAAATTTTTCGTTGGCTCATTGGCTCGGGCTTGCATTTGGGAACGCAGTGACTGTAGTAATGGTGCCGATGCAGGGTTTCTTCGTGTCTAGATGAACCCAAGCTTGCATCATCATCCATTGCCGTGAGGACGAGTATCCATTCCTGGCGCCCCCTGTCACACCCACCGCTGCCGACGCCTGAGATGTGCTCGCGGAGAGCGGCGGTAAGATCCTTCTTGTACATGGGGGCGGGGCATTTTCGTCATGTCTGCGAATCTCGGCCGTACGGGGGGCCTATACTTGAAGACGCATAGCGGCTAGCGATCATGTCTGTGAATCCCGTCACTACTGGGCGGGGGTCGCATATTGGTCGAGAACGGCGTATAAGGAGGGGGTTTTATAAGAATGGTCTATAGAAATTTTGTAATGTAGAAAGAGGAGTTCATGTATAGAGTTTTTTGTGGAGGGTATATCATGGATGCATGCAAGGATGGATGGATTGGTGGATGGATGTGGATGGATGGGTGGACGGTGGCCGGGTGGACGAATGGATGAAGGGATGGATGAATGCATGGATGGATGTGATGATGTTCGTTTGCTACCTCGCTGATCTAAACACTCTCGAGGCATTCGTTCTCTACGTAGTAGTTGTTCTTCCCCTCCTTAATCCTTACGCAGGGTGTGACTTAGCCTGACTTGCTGCAAATAAGAATGCCAAAATTTGGAGGAATGGAAGAAGAGGATTGTGACTCGTGGCCATCTATTGGAATATACACGTCACGGCACCACACGAGCAGCGCCGCTGGTCGATCCGGACATGGGTGGGCCAGGAGAGGGATACCCAATTCGGGGACAAATCGTCAGGGAACCACGACGACCAAAAGATCAACCCATTCACCACAAGTCATTCCAACGGGTCTTGAGTCTCGACAAGGTCTAAGGCGCAAGGTCCGACACCCAAGGCTTCCGAAACCCGGAACGCTGAAAGCGGCAAAGCCTACCAAGCCAGACAAAGACTTGTGGATGCCATGCCAGACACGCACCCTCCCCCGAAAAAACACCATTTATGAAGCCCTGATCCGCATCACCAGGGAGGCTAACTCGCACAACATCGTGGAGCTAGAGTTCCCCAAGAGGCAGTAGTTCCGGAGAATGCAGGGGCAAATGAGACGCTTCTCCGTCAACATCCTGCAGCTACGCTGGATGATCCACTGTTCAGGACCATCCTGACCCTTCGACACCCGCGAACGCCAACCCAATCATCTTGTGACCAAAGAGCCGACTTAGCTTCCGTTACACAGAATGCTAGATCCGTTCGTGTCCCAAACAGTATCGTCACATCTGGCCGTCCAGCCAGTTTCTGTGCCAGGCATATGGTGGTGAGTCGAGTCGCGCTGCTGATCTTCCCGAGCCTCCAGCGCGGCTCTTGGCTTTGCATCGTGCTCTTCGTTTATGCCAGAACCTGGACTGCGATCAGTAGGCAAACTAACTTCGCTTGTCTTCGGGAGAGCTGCAGAGTCGAAGCGCAGGTAGATGAGGTTCCCAAGCCTCGGCCCGCCCAGGCGTTTCCACCGGTGAAGGTGGAGCTTCCACCGGCGAAAGCGGAGCTTCCGCCGGAGGTAGAGGAGCTCCCGGCTAAGGCCACCTCCAATTTTTGGGCACTTGCTTGAGTTGGGTTTATCGGCTTTCATCTTTGGTGTGAGGATGAAACACATAGGTCGGGGCCTACCTTTCTCCTCTTTACTCGCTCTTTCGCTTGGCCTCAGCCCCTCAGCTCCCGTTTCGTAGTGAAGCAGGGTCTGCCGGTCTGCTGCCAAAGTTGGCGGGCAAGCATTGTAGTAAATGCCTAGTTCACGTAGTAGCGTGATGCAAACGAGATCGCTCAGACTGCCGAAAGCTGTTACATGCGAAATCCGAGTAACACATGAAGAATGCACTGATGTGCAATATTATTGTGCAACTCGGGGTACGTCGTCAGTTGCTGGGAATGTTAAGACAAGACATCTCGAGGCCACCTATCGTGCAAGACAGCTGATATTCGTCTGACGTTCGCTTTGGCACAAACTGTACGGAGTCGTAAGGCATCCAGACAGGCAAGGGTGGCGGTGGACTAAAGGAAGCCGCCACCACGAAATCTTATACGAAGACCAAAGACGGGTGAATGTAAGATGCGGAATTTTCCTTGCTGAGCCAGTTGTTGCGCCAGGATATCGTCCGCGAAGATTCCAGGAGCAAAGAGCTCAAGGCAGAGCAGTGGCAGCGCTTGTCTTCGTAGGTCGCTGGTGTCTCCTCGCTACCACTGCCTTTGTTAGTTTGCACACGGACGCGGAGTGAGCCAAGCTTGCAAGCGCAACATGCCAAGTGAAGAAGGTTCAGGCAATAAGGAGCTAATGATGTGCTAGAGGAGGACTAGATGGAAGAAGGCAGCAGGGACACCGCAAATGGGGAAGATACAGCAGAGGTGCTCTGCGCACCGTGCTTATCATCTGTTGAGTGTGCGCAAAGCCCAGTTAGCTTTCACAAAGCGATGGGTCGTTGAGTTTCAGGGGATCTCAAATTGGAGCGAGCACAGAATACGCTATTGCTTGCTGGATGGTGTTATAAATCTTCTGTGCTCGAAACACTGTCTCTTGCTGGATCGAACCTCTGCAGACGGTCTAAGCTCGTGTCAGGAATCCAGCTTGCCGGCCCGATGTCTCGATCGACAACAGGCATTAGACGTTTTTTGCAGTGGTGTAGGGGGCTGAGCTAGACTGGGATGTCGCATTTCGCTCAGGAACAGGAAGTCGAGACAGAAGCTACGGCGGCGACAGACACAGCTGACCTTGCAGAAGAGGCGCAGTCATGAGCGTGTCGAGATGTGTCCAGCAAAATTAACTGGTATTCAGGAGGCCAACACTCTACAGTAACCGCCAAACCCGCCACAGACCGAGCTTGCGGTCCGAGCTTCCAGGCGGACCAAGCCAAAGATGTCCAAACCGCCACTACCACCGAGGCGGTTGATGAGGCCTTAAGCATTCGCATGCATGCGCAACTTCTTCAATGATCATGGCTGTGGCGTGCCCCTGACAGGAAGTCTTGCCGGAAGGGCATGCAGATGACGACCAAGAGGCCGGGCAATCTCCGAAGAGAGCATCTAGAAGGTTGTGCAGCATGAGAATCAAACCTCACACCTGAGTAGACGTGCGCAACACAGAGCCTAAGCCCTAAGCCTAGCTCCTAGCTGTCCCGACAGGATGAACATGCACAGGATTTTCCGAGCTGGAGTACCTCCTTCCTTGTGCTTGCAGGTCGAGCGCGCTCCAAGCAGCGGCTCCGACACCCTGTCATCCATTGCTGAGAAGGCAACTTGTACTCACGGCGCTGGCAAGTCGCGGCATATGAGCTTTCCACGCCTTATCAGGCAGAAATCGTCATTGTCCTGCCCGAAGATGATGATTTTCCTTTGGATGAGGCAGGCAAAGCATTGACGAGCTTTGTATTGCGTTCGTAGCACGATCGCGAACCCGGTCGGTGCCGCTGCTTTCTTGTTTGGTTGTTGCAGCTGACAGGACACTGGCCTAGTGCGGCAAATTAGCCTGCACAGCCAGACATCTCCTACTCGGAGAGCAGCCGCCGCAGCCGCAGCAGAGGAGGCGATGGCTGAACTGACGGCAGACAAGGAGGAAGGTGTGGAGGAGAAGAAGGATGAGGCGGAGGCGGAGGAAGAGGACGAGGAGGAGGACGACGACGAAGAGGAAGAGGAAGATGCGGATGGACCGGATGCTGCAGTTCCGGTTGCGGATGCGGTGGTTGCGGCGGATGCTCAGGAGGGCAAGGATGCTCCTCAAGAGCAAGGCGAGAAGGAGGCCTGTGGCATGTGGGGTTTCCACTTGTTGTCATGCGCACACCAATACACAGTTGGTACTCCATTTCCAGGTGAAGCCCAAAAAGAAAAAGAAGAAGAAGGGAGAAAAAGTGATTACATTGCCCAATTGCGTGCGAAGCTTATGTGTTGCAACTGGTCTGGTCAATGTATTATCGACTTCAGCCCCAACAGCCTTTTGCCAGGATCAGATTTTGCCATACCTGTACTTGGGTGGCATGGCAGCGGCAACCGACGTGGAGGGTTCGACACCTGGTCTAAAAGCCAGCAGCCAGCCCTTTTGCGGCACAGCTTCCGCGGTTTGTGAGTATGTTTTGCTGGCGATGAGGCATCCAGAGACAGGGATTGGGCGCAATCTGCTGCTGTTGCAGAACGCGGGAAGCTTGGACCTGCGCTGTCGCGCACCAGAAAATTGGGATGCATGTCGCACTAAGGGTAGAGTTCCCGGATGCGCAATTCATTCCTGGCGTTTCTTACTACAGCACTGGCCTTATCTGGCCCTAATCACACAAGTTCGGAAGGTGTAACAATTGCGACCAGGAGTGGATGTTGAAGACATGTCGAGGGAGCCTCTGGACTACTTCTTGAAGGAGGCCGGCCAGTATGGCCAAGACTGAGAGTCCACTCGACTATTTCGAAGGACAAGGTTTGCATGAGTCTACGACCTTCGAATGATCAGGCCACTGATTTTATTCATTCTTTCATCGTGCGAGAGCAGTGTCGTCCTCAGCGAAATCCGGTTCGCTGGGACTGCCATGCCAATGCTCGCCAAGGCCGGTGCTAGTGCATTGCCGGGCGGGGGTGTCCCGCTCTGCATCTGTGGTCTTGGAGCGGGGCTGAGCTGCGCAGCGGTAGCGTTGATGGTCAAGTTGATGGTTGGGAACCTGGGAGTTAGGACACAGTAGAGAGCATGGTTGAGAAGAGAACTCTGTGTCTCAAGGCCTATCTCGTGGCCTGCCAACGAATGACGTTGGCCGATGCTTTTGTGCTACTCCGTTCAAGGAGATGCATTGCAGCTTGACGAGGGATTTTATAAGTCTGGGGCGATGGAGCTCTGCCGACACAGCCAGGGCAACGATTCTGCCTGTGGGATGAGAGGTAGTCAGCTGCGAAGATCACGCTCGTTTGCAGTGTCTCATGCCGAGTGAGACAAAGTCGGCTGGTTTCTATCTTCGGTCTACAGTCCTGTCGAGGTCGTTTGATTGGTGATTAACAACATAGCTCAGCGCATGAGCCAAGCACATCGGAAGCTGCAGGTGACTCCGAATCTTGGATTTTTCGAGCAGCTCTCCATATGGGAGAAGGAGCTTGCAAGTGTTGCAGTAGAGACTACATGCCGCACGTTCCGTTTCTGCCAGGAGGTGTCCGGGGTGTCGTCCGTGGACTGCAACAAGTGTCCTCGCACAGTTGCCTGCGGAAGCTGGACATGTTCACGGTAGTACCGCCGTCAAAGCTTCCTGCGTGATGGCCAGGTACAACTTGTGGTTTGGCACTCCCGAGTACGAGCGTTCGGTGTCAGACTCGGCAATTCAGCAGGACCGTAGGACATGCCGGTGAAAGTTTGTGATTCTGCAGACTCGATTCGAAGTTGCCTGCTCAAGGCACTTCCGGACATGCGCCCCGATTACTAGGGCAGCGTGTGTGAACACCCACTTCCCAAGAGCAAAAACAACGCACATTCAGCAAGCTTTGAGCTTGGATGTTCATCATCGCGAATGATGTAGTGCCACGAGTTGCAGCATGCAGCAAGCTCTGCGGGAAGCAATCCCAATCGTTTCACTGTTTCACCGCCCACATCAGAGAAGGCACACAGGAAGGGAGTGCCTCAGACAATGCGACCGAGTTGTAGTGAAAAGGGAACTGTGGCAGCAAGCTTTTGGTCAGGCTCCATAGCGTTGCCATAGCCCACCTGCAGTGCAAAATCTCACCTCCTGGACTCGTAGCTCAAGCTGGATTCAATTAGTTGGCATAGCCTGCGCGTGCCTTCGGCGATGCATGCAGCTTTCCCGAATTACGAAGTTGTTGATGGATCGGATTTGGATTTGTCTCGATTTCAGTCTGTGGGGCAAGTGAATACACTGCTTTCCTGTCTCACCGAGGTCGCGCATGTGGGTGGGGAGCTCAACAAGCTGGAGCCATTTCGGTAGTCGCGGAAGGGACTCAAAAGCGCGCTGCTTCCCCAACGGGGTCCTAACCTTGTTACTGTATGGTTGCAGCACACTCCGGCTTGGGTCCGACCACCACTTCGTTCCTCGGGTGGAACCTTTGTGTTTGCTTGAAGCTCTGGGTGCTGAGCACACTGTCAACTGCCTGCGGCCGTGAGCCGGACGGCTTTTATGTTAGACTTTGTCGCTTTCGATGTCACCCCCGCGTCATTCATAATGCTGAGAGTATAGCTGCAGCCATCACGCTCACGTGTGACGGCAAAAGAGGGAGTTCCGATTGCCGTGCGGCGGCAATACAAACTCTGAACAATCTGAAGGTATGATTTTGACTGAGGCTGTCAGTCAGCCCGGTTCTCTCTTAATCACCGCAGTGCGCGACCAGGAGGCTTTACTCAACGGGCCCGGAAAGGTTGAGTTTCCTGATGAGTAACCATTGCATGGGCAATACGCGTGCTGACCTGTGATAATATGACCTGGGTAGGCCAAGCGCAAGAGCCGAGCTTTCTCAGAAAACAAGACAACGATTTTTGAAGAAACGCTGTGTCTGTTGTGGTCCGAGGTCAAGTGGAACTGATAGTTTCTTGAGCCTGCCTGCGTGCAAACAGGTGGGGCTGAGATGAAATGCCTCTTGCACTGTGCCTCCAGCCTGTGATCACAGAAATTTGGGAGGTGCGCTTGCGAAATGGCGCTCTTGAAACTCCAGACGGCTCTCGAGAATGCCTTGGCTCCCCTGTCACGCTTTATGAACCTGCACACATATTGGTATGAGTACGCCTTGTATGACAGGGCGAGCTCAGTCTGGAGGCACAGTGCTACATCTACGAAGATGCCCCGAGTTGTTGTGACATTGTGTGAAAGGAGGGCTTGGAGGAGGGAGACTGCGCAGGGTCTCAGTCGTCCTGTGCTCGGCACATGTGTACCATGGAACCATGCGCGCTATTGATCATGAAGTTCTTTGCCCTTCCCGGGAAAGGTCCGCCACGCAGCCCGTGGAAAGAAGGACAGATGAGGGGGAAGAAATGATCGCGACGGGGGGGAAGGCCGACCAAAGATGGTTCGGTGCTGTTAAACGTGTGCAGAACCCCCTGGTTTGACAGGGAAGCACAGCCGTGTGGAACACCCGGATGCCTTCTGCTGGAAACTCACGATACTCGTACTTTGAACTCGTGTGTTCAACGAAGAGCTTCTTGCCCGAGGTCGGATACTGCAGCACGGCCTCCACCACACCGTTGGCAAGTGCAAGCGGCTTATAAAGACATGCAGGGCATCGCATGTGCAGATGGGGTTGTTGCAGTCTTAAGGCCGCAACGTCAGCTATGGCTTCAGCTCTAGAGAGCAGAAGCGAGGAACTGACCCCATCTGTGCAGGCCGAACCATCACTCCGTTCGCTTCTTTTGCGGGCCGAAGCGCGACCCTAATGTCAGGAAAGAACACGGGGCGAGCTGTTGAACGCCCCGGGGCAGCATGGCTTGCTGCCAGGAGGCGCTTCCTTGCTCGTGTTCCAAACGACATCAGACCGACGGCTTGTTCCGGTTTCCAGGCCTTGGACATTTTCGTTTGGGCACTAGTTGTCTTCAAACTGCCAAGGGGTGCATCGGCTCAGCTGAAGCCGACAGGGTTGCTTGCAGTCGGAAGTTTCGAAACTTCGCCGCTGTGCCAAGGCCGTTGGAAGCTTTACCGATGGAGCAGCGGATCGAAGAGGCCGAGGTTGGGGCTACCACAGTGGCCAGTGGCTCTGCTACTCAGCCGCTAATGCGTCCTACGAAAGGCTGCAGAGGCGAAGCTTGAAGCCGCTTTGGTGGACCTAGTGTGGCTGAAGAACAACCAGGCCGAGGCTGGTTCCACAGATTCCTTCTTGGGCCGGAGATCAAAACATTGCCGATTGAGCAGTTTCGAGGTTGCCTGGCTACAGCAACTACTACTCCGAACTCCTACTGCTGCTTGCTGCTCGGCTCCTGCCGCTCACTGCCACTGCTGTTGCTACTGGCTGCGCCTGCCGCTGCCACTGCCACCACGACTACGACTACTCTGCTCCTACCCCCACTACCACTACCACTAATATTACTATTACTATTACTATTACTAGTACTACTACTACTACTACTACTGCTACTACTACTACTACTGCTACTACTACTGCTACTACTGCTACTACTGCTACTACTGCTACTACTGCTACTACTGCTACTACTGCTACTACTGCTACTACTGCTACTACTGCTTCTGCTTCTTCTGCTTCGTCTTCTGCCTCTTCCTGCACAGCCACTGCTGTGCGCATCATCCTAGGTCAAGCGATACATCTCGGATTACGTATTTACTTTGCAAGGCACGGAAAGAAAGAGCTTGAGGGAACGGTCTTCTGGCATTGTGATGGAACAGGATTGTTGTCAATCCCCAACCTAATCTGTCCTCTCGCTCTTCGGCTCATCCGCTAGTCGAAAGGCACGCCACGGCACTCACCAAGCCAGGAACCTACTTGTCAGACAGGGCCAAGACAACCACCACTGCTGCTGTTGATGATGGAAGTACGACTGCCTCCTTTATGAGCACAATTACTTCGACAAGGGAAAGAATTGCGCTTGAATTGAAAATCACCGCGACAAGAGCCGTGGTTTTTATACCTGTTGTGTGGATGGAAAAAGGAAACCCTTCCGCAGGACCCTCCCCCTTCCGCATGCTTCCGCGCGCGAGGGTTTAGCTTCGGCATTGCCGGACCGGAAACCCAGAAGGAACAGTGTGTGAACCCCGCTACTAAAAATCATGCGCTCGCAGTTGCGATTGGATCTAATTAGGCGCTTCTGGGTTACGAACGATGAAAGCTTCTACTGATTGTTCGTAGTCGTAAACCCTAAACCCAGAAAGTGAGAGGATGCTCAAGAAGCGCCAACCTGGCTTTAGTCTCTACTCGGACAGCGCTGTATGACAACATGCAGCATGTGGCTAGGGATGCTATACTGTAAGCACGCATTATGTCTTCACTGAGCTGTGATCTGTCACAGGACAACGTTGCAAGCGATGCCTTGCTGCTTGCGCAAGCTTCTTTGCAAGCACGAGGAGTCCCAGGCAAGATGGTGCAGATTCACCTAGGATTTCAGGAGCGACGTATGCACGCAAGCATAGATCCGATGGGCATCCGAAGCCACATCGTATACTGAATCATGCTTGTTGAAGGCGCTTCCTCAAGCTCAGCGCAACAGACCTTGCCAGAGTGACCAGGAGTCCCTTTGCTCGAACCATCTTGCTGGCTTGCCTCTAGTGGCTTGCACGCATGAGTGGCGCGCACATATGGCTCCCAGATTCAAAAGTTAAACTGTTTAAATGCGGAGTGTCCAGCCTTCTGAGCCTTAGAATCCGACTAAGACCAAGTGAGTAGCCTCAGTATTCGAAAAGGCCCAGACTAGGATGGGCGGTCGCCCACCGGCCAAAAAGCGCCAAGGGCATTCACGTAAAGCTGCTGCAGTGAAGCTGTTTCAGCATCGCAGTGTTTCGAGTGTGTCGGTGCACACCCTGCATATGACAGGGAATCATTGCACGTTTATTCATCATGTCATTATCTTTAGACTCGAGCGTACATATTCGCTCAAGATCAGGGTTATGGCCCTCTGAAGCATTCGTGATGAATACAACCAACAGACTCGCCTCAAACAATCGGATCAAGCACCATGTCTGGGACAGAGGGCACTTTCTCACCAGACTTATGTACTTCTACATGATGCGCGGTGTCGACCAGAAAAGGAGCCTGCGGCTGGTTCAGCTTGTAATTTGTACAGGCGTGACCTCAGTATGATTTAGTCACCATCTCGAACTGCATGCAATGCTAATGTTGCATATATCCTTGTTACCTTCCAATGTTACTTGTGTAGGATCTGCCAGCGGTTGCAAACTACGATTGCCTCAGGCGCAGCATGTGCATGCACGAACAGGGGTGCAACCGACACGTGCGGGCATTCCTGGGACGTGCTGCAACTAGTGTTGCGACCAGCTGAGCGGATTGTCGGCTACCAGTTGCACATGTTTGCATATTGCGAACGTTAACACAATTGTGGTGCGTGTTTTGTGCCTGGCGACCGCAACGTCCAGAGCATGACTGTTGAGATCCTGACGCGGCTCAGCAGATGTGTGAAGGGAGCGCATGGGCAGCACATCGTGGTGTTAACACGAACGACTACCGTGTCAATGTTCTTGTCCGATAAGTTCTGTTCGGCAAGAATACGAGGATCCGAAGTAGAGCAAGAACGTGTTAGGTGGATTGTGCCGGCCAAGGCCACTTCACATGCTCCGCAAGGGACACAGGGCAAGAAGGAAAGCAAGAAGCCACGACAAGCAACGAACAGCATCAGCGTCAGTTTTTACATACGGCCCGGTATACTTTGCAGTGTGGCTGCAGGCCCAGATAAAGCTTGCCCGGGAGAGCGGCTTCTTGTGTTTCCTGGCCTTGGCAGGTTTTCTTATCAATGTCTGGGCCG